AGTCAGGCCTGATCAAAAAACCATGGATTGAAGGGTAATATTTAGTTTGTGTGTATGGTTTATTAATAAATTTTATATAAATATTAAAATTTAATAGTAAAAGAGGTAAAATTGTTGCAATTTATACTGTGAGCATGTATTAGAAATATCAAAATTTAAAAATATGATGGAAATCATATTGGATAAAATTTAAAATAGAGGTGCTTTAAGATTTTTTGAATTTTAAATATGGGTTATAGATTGGTCTGAAATTTTTTTTGCAGACATAGCCAGGCCTGTTCAAAAAACCATTTTAATTACATTGTGAAATTTTTTTGCAGACATAGCCAGGCCTGTTCAAAAAACCATTTTAATTACATTGTGACTTTTTATATATTTTATTTCAGTCCTCAACTATCAAAATTATTATGGTCTTTTGAGGGTTTAAGAAAACCAAGTGCGAGGACCTGGCTTGGGAATTTTTTTAATATTAGGCATAGGTGTAATATTTAACACAGAATATTTATATGGCCCTCAGGTAAAATCTAATTTAAATATATTTTTATTCAAAAAAATAGTATTCACTCTTAGTCTTAATGGGTTGGCCTTGGTTGGGGTGAGCTGGGTTAAAATAGACTAAAAAATAGATATGGTTTTAGAGATTTACCTATCTCCAGGCTTGGAAAAAAAATTTAAATTACTATCGGTTGGGGTTTGAAAAATTTTTTTTATAAAATTATTATGGGTTGGGCTGGGCTGGGCTTGGAAAATATTTTTAGAAATTATATTGAGCTGGGCTTGGGGAAAATTTTTCAAAATTATTATGAGCTTGGTCGCTTGAGAATTTTTAATTATTAATTATAGGTCAGACATTGGCCCAAAACAAATTTTTTTGCAGGCCTGGGCTTGACCTGATCAAAAAACCAAGGCCATGAAAATCTGAATTTTGATTGTATTTATAAATTTATTATGATTATTTAAATATTTTATTTTAGTTCTTAACTTCCAAAATTATTATGATCTTTCATTGGGCTTGGAAGAATTTTTCATAATTAATATGGCTTTGGACTTTGCCTGGGAATTTTTTTTATTTAAATTTATTTTTATTCAAACCATAGCACTTAGTTTTAATGGATTAAATCTGGCCTGAAGGGATGAGGGGGTAAGAAGAATAAAAATTGGATATTATTTTTAAATAACAAGTAACATGCATAAAAGTAAGAAGAAAATTTTCATTCCCCGTCATTTTTGACGGGCTATCTACTAGTATAATAATATTAATATTTAAAAGAAATTAATTAAATTTTCATATATACAACAATTAAATGTTTTGCTTCTTATGAAGATAAATAAAGAAAAAACATAAAATAAAGTAAAGTAAAATAATAATTTTAAAAAAATCCACCAAGATTAATTTATATTTTTACTTAAGATATTAACAAAAAAATAAAATATCATTTCCTAAAAAATACGAATATAAACGAATATTTACAAATAATTTCGAATAATACAAATTATTTCGAATAACACGAATAATTTTGAATAATACGAATAATTCATATCGAATAATTTACTATTCGACGAATAATTCGATTCAAATTTTCTCATTAAATAATTGTGTTATGCGTATTCATAAAATACGAATCAAATTAAATCGAATAACGAATAAGGTGACATTTTTATAGATAGTAGTTTTTGTGAAAATTGTATAATATAAAAAATTCTACCAGTACAACGCTATTTAATCATTCACACAATTTACAAATACAACTCTAAAACTAAAATTAATATCAACTCCAAATTTTATTGTCCAAATATCCATTGGCGTACGCAGCGGGGGAGGGCAGGGGGACAAATCCCCCCCCCCCCCCCCAAAGCCAAAAAATGCACATGCCGGATATATTTTTCAAAAATATTATTGTTTATATTAATTTATATTTGTTAATATTTATTCGTATCTCATATTAAATATATATATTTAATTACATTTATTATCACATTTATCTACTAAGTTATTTTATCAGTTAATTTCGATTTCAAGTTTTCCGGCGTAATATTTACTTATTATTTTCAAATTTTTAGTGGCGTAATATTTATCTACCATTTTCAAATTTCTAGTCAAATAATTATTTTTTCTGAAACTTCTTGTCCAACAGGGAAAAAGAAATTGCAATTGTCCAACGAGATAGAGTCTCTGCCATCAAGCAGTAACAGCTATTATGGAGTTAGAAGAGCCGATTATTAATGCTATTACTGGAATATCACAATGGCTTGAAAGAAATATTTCCTCAGAAGCAAGAAAATTATTGGATTCAATACTTATTCCAAATTTTTTTTCTCATTAGAATGTATTATTTAATTTTACAACTATTTTAAGTATTACCTTTCAAAAACATGACATTGACTTGATTAAGAAGATGAGAATAGCGGAGAGCATTTTATCAGAACTCAAGGAAATTAGGGCTAATGTTGATGAAGAATTTCATATTTTATTTTGAGTCAAAAGCAGTGCTATACGTGTTTAATATTTGTCTCCCTCGACTTGTAGCAAGGCAAACTCATCGTTAAAACATTAATTAATATAAGTAGAAGAGTATATCTTAAATACAGATACATTTATAACCCAAATAAATGAATTTTTAATTCATCATGCAGCACTTACTAATCTGCAAATATTATTTCCACAAAAGCCTTCCCAACCTTTTTCAGATGGTGATAGAAAAAAAAATATTTGTTTGATTTTTTTTATGAAGATGTTAAAGTATCTTATGATGCCTTACTAGCTGAATAACTATGTTTATAAGATTAACAATGGTTGATATAGTCCCAAAAAATGCTATGGATGCTCTGCATTATTTCAAACACATTTTAGATTAAATTCCCAATGTATTAAATGGGTTTATAAACTCTTCCCATTTGTAAACTAATGAGAGAACATTCTCTTTTTTAAGAAGAATAACAGAGGCCTGCTGAAGTACCATTTGCAGGGCACGGCTCGGATTTTTTTTAAAGATTTTTTACGGCCCGGCCTGGGTTTTTTTTAAAAAATTTTCAGGCCCGACTCGGCTTTTTAAAAAAATATTTAGGCCCGGCTTGGGTGTTTTTTTAAAAAAAATTCGGGCCCGGCCCGGGTATATTTAAAAAATTTAAAATACTGTCCAGTCCGGGGGCCGGGCCTGTAGGTCTCTGAAAAATATACCAAGAAATACAACATCTGAAAGTAGATTGAAAGGTTTGGATCTTTTGAATTTTCATAGGCATTTGACGACAAGCAATGATGAGATAATTGAAAAATTAGCTCAATCACAACGAAGATTGGATTTTACATTGTAAATATATAAAATATAAAATGCAATTATTCCTAAGAAACTTTTTGTGTAAAGGCTCAAAAAATTCAAATTTCTATTTTGGGTCATTTAAGTGATTTTTTACATATTATTTTTTTATAATTCACATAAATTTAAAATTGTGTATTAGAAATAGTTATTAGTCCTAATAAATTTATGCTTGATATTTTTAAAAAAAAATTATTATCCCCCCCCCCCCAGACAAAATTCCTGCTTACGCGCCTGATAATAGATGCTGGTGAATTTGCAGTAATAGCCATGACACTCATGATGTAAACTAATATCAGAATTTATTATGTTGGATAAATTGATAAAATAAAAACACTAAAAATCTTTGGAAGAAATAATTATGAAAATATATTGAAGCCTGGAGTTATTTACACGGCAATGCCATATTAGAAATGAAACATTTTCTAACTATAAAATAAGGGCCAGAATGATATGGTGAAACAAATAAGATTTTATATATTGTCGCACCACCTTGGTATATTATATCTTAAAATAATAGTAGTTTGTAATAATATCAAAAATATACTTGTATTAAAAATTTAACTCAAGACTGTTTTTCGAAAATGAAAAAAATAGCTTTCCTAAAAACACGTAAAAAAAGAGAAGAAAAGATATCAGATTTATTACATCTGCAGGACACTGCAGGATGAATAATAAAATGTTTAATTTAAAAAATTATTTATAACTAAATAGATGGCGTTAAATACTTGAATGCAATTTGTTATTATATTTGTTATCAAAACCATTTATTAGTAAAATTTATTATAATATTAACTGTAATATATTATATAACTATCAAATACGTCTATAAAAATAGCATTATATCTGATATTTTATAAACAACTGTATATAGTAGAGGATTATAAACTATATATCTACTTACTTTTTATAAAGAAATCTCTTATACTTATTTGAACCTTGAAAATAATTTTAAGGTATGATAATAAAATTTCAAAATAAATATACAGTTGATTAGTCATTTTTAACTCGGCTAATTACAATATTAAATTTGTTAATTTTCAAATAATATAATGTTTATATTTATTTAATTAGGGTTAAATAATAATTTCAATAATAAAAGTCAATTAAACTTCAACTGTTAAAGCTAAATTAATATTTAGTTAGTCATTGGTATTATATTTTTAATACAGAATTTGATCGCAAGCTGACATAGTGAAAAGATAATTTATATGTATTAATCTAATCTAATAATTAAAATAATATTCATTTAAAATAGTCTTATTAATTTTCTTAATAATATAATTATATCTATATATTACTTAATGGAATTATAAAAGAAATCATTCAGCGGGCAGTCAAAAAAATTTATTTTTAGTTCAAGGGGATATTAAGGAGCTGTTAAAAAAAATTTTTTGCTTCAGGGGGCTATTCAAATTTTTCAGGGGGCTTGAGTCCCTACCCCCCCCCCCCCCCCCAGCGACGCCACTGTAAATTAATTCGCTTGTATATAAAATTATTTAACTTTACACATTGATAAGGACATATAAATATGTGATTAACAATTTTCTTACAGGCTAAATAATTTTATTTTCAAATATAATAAAATATATAAAAATGTTTTCTATCAAATCTGGTCAACACTTTAATAGATTTGGCTGATAGATGACAGTTGACAGAATGTCAGTAATATGATATAATTGCTGATTTATCTTTTTAGATTATTTTGCATGGCTTCAATATTTGAAATAGACCCTGAATTAGAAAAGGAGTATTTTAAAGAATACGAGTCTGATGAAAATGAAAAAAAAATGAAAAAGTCTAAAAAACCTAAAAAATTGAAGAATACGATCATTAAAAATAATATTGATTCAAGTGGAATCCTCGATAAAGGTTTAAAACAATATTTTATATAAATAATCATTTTTAAATCAAAGAAACAATTGAAAACCAATCAATGAAAGTAAATTCTATATTTAATTATAAAGCTAATGTAATTATAGGATTTGAATGCTTCTGAGCTTTCCAACAAAAATATGGTTGATGTTAAGATTAAGACTCAAAAAACTGATTTGAATGATAATACATTGGGTTTATAAATTCTACTAAACTACTTGTTGAATACATTAATTATTTTCTTTATACATTCTCTTTATTTATATTGCAAAATTCAAAATCAGACTAAATATTTTAAATATAATGAACCCAACTATCTTTTGTATTCCTAATTCATTTAGAACATTAAAAAACAGTATATAAAATATCTGTAATAACTACAAGATCTCACTTTTTAAAGGCTTTACAATATATTAATTTTTTTACATATACTATTTTAATAAAATAATATAATATATAAGGCCATGAAGATGCTGCCATTAAAGATAAGGATAAGAAACCCAAAAAGAAGGCCAAAAAAGATGACAAAAAAGAGTCTTCAAAGAAAGCTGATGCAGGAGACAAGAAAAAATTAAATAAAGCTCAAGTATATATTTATTATACACATTTTAAAGGTAAAGCATAAATTTATTCAACCATGAATATATTTAATAGAGTCTTACATATGTATGCATATAATAATATTTTATTTTATTGGTCAACTAATTTTTATAAATTATTTTACAAAAAAGTTGATGAAAAAGATATACTGTATTATTTTATTTATGATGATCACTTACATCATGAAATAGTTTTAAAAAATAAACTTATATTAAATGCCTATTGATTTATCAAGTATGATAATATATGTGAACATTTATCATGTATTTAAATAGTATTTTTCTAAATATTTGAACAATATCTAATTTTAAGAATTAAAGAAAGGGTGGTTATAAAACAATATTACTTCTAAATCAACACAAAACAATGTTTATTTTTTGAATATGATCTACATCTAAATTAAAATAATATTAAGCTCAAAATGACTTGCAATTTATAGGAATATGTTTTTTTTAATGTAAGAGTTGACTACTTCATGACTAAAAAATTCTTTTATGAAAGAAATTGTTCACTTTGATAACCTCCATAAATAGCCAATAATTTTTTCATTTTTAAATGTATATAAATTAGATTTCATGCAAAATATTAAAAAATTTGATTTGGAAATTTTGAAACCTTAATTTAAAAACAGTTTTAAAATTGCAATTTTATGTATTTTTTTGAGCATTCTAAGTGTCTGCATTTAATTTGATATGAGTAGAAAAATATACTAATGTAAAATTGTTTTCCTGCTCATAAAACAATATGCACCTACATCTGTCCATTGGTTTAAAATAAGAAAATTTATACAATTATTTAACTAATTCACACATTTATAACTTTTCAAATTATTGTTATTTAACTAATTCACACATAACTTTTCAAATTATTTTTTATATCTCATATATAAAAAAGTTGACGATATTGAAGGAAGCCCTAAGAAAAAAGGAGCAAGAAGAAACCCAATTCATCCAACAAGAGGAAGAACGTGTCCGTAGGGAGGAGGAAGCTGAAGAAAAACGTCTGGAAAAGGTATAAGTTGGGGAAATGGGATTTGAAAGAAGAAGTTTTCTTTGTACTAGAAAATATTATATGTGGATAGGGCTCAATATGCCTCCTGAGTAGTGTCAAACCATTCACTTGCTCCACCATCCAAATCAGACCGATGGCCCTTGGAATAGCGAAATTCCAGTTGGTTTCTTAACTGGATCTAAATTCATCTAAACTAATATATATTTTTTCAAATCTACATAAATAAGTATTTCCTTTTTTAAATATAATCAATTCTTTAGAAGGTAATTTTTACAAAGTTTTATCTGATTAGCTAAAATAGCCTTTAATGTGTGCTGTGATTTTTTTTTAAAATATCCAAATAAATCGGGATAATTTCTAAGTTAATACATGAAACATTTATAAGAATAAATCATAATTATAAATGAATCTTATTTATTAAATAACTTGTCTGTAAGGATAATACCCAAAATTATCACATTATGATGAAATTATTAATCAATATATTATTATAATAAATTGCCATATCATAAAAAATAGATATTAAATCTTCACAATATTTCAACCTCAAATACATTGCTAGCTATTTTTAGAAATTTAACTAATCAGTTAAACCCTTGGGATTTAAGTTGAGAATTAGGTTTTAACAATTATAGTTTTATAGTGTAAAATGATTGGCATTTCATATCTTTGAAATAAAAACTTTCCTGTAAAATTGAAGTGGCACTATAACTCTAAAAAAATAAACGTAATATATTGTAAATTTTAATATTAGTTAAATAACTCTTAAAAAAGGAGCGAATTAATACTTATAATTAAACGCGCATTTATTAGATACATTTGGAGGAGGAACGAAAATTGAAAAAGAGGCAAAAGGAAAAGGAGCGCAAAGATCGGCTCAAACAAGAAGGGAAACTTTTGACGAAAGCTCAAAAGCAATCCAAAATGAGGGCCGAGGCAATGCTCCAAGCGTTACGGGAACAAGGCAATAATTTACAATAATTACTTTTGTTTTTACTTTTATTATCTTTTTTTAAAACTTTTATAATCTTTTTTTTTGAAATCAATATTTCAAACTGTAATTAAAGTCCCTTATATTATCAGTTCCAATCTCATTATTTTATCCTCATAATCTGTTCCGCGTATAGGCATAGAACTACCTGCCACTAAAACCAGCAACACGGATTTTGCTAACGACCAGGTCATCAAACCAAAGCGGATCATATATGTCGACAAAAAAAGGAGTAAGAAGAACCTTACACTCCTGGTTTCTTCTAAAGGTTTTATCACACAACTTTAACGAAATTTTGTTAAAAAGAAGGAAAGAAATTATAATTATTTTGTTTACCCTTCATGTGACTGTCGGGTTAGCAAAGGGGTAATTATGGCACAGATTGGAATGATAATAAATGGCTGCCTTCTTTATTTGCTTTGCCACCTGATTGACACGATGACTATGAAAATATATAGATAAAATTGAAGGTATTATTTATGAAATGGAGTAATAAAATCCTTGTGAATTATCTAAATTTTTCAAATAAAAATAGGCAAAAATATTGTTTACCGTTAATAAGTAATGTGTAGCCGTCAATTTGAATAATAGAGTCCTACATTCGGCCTAATAACTTGCACACAGGGATCCAAACCGAACCGTACCGGTATTTTTATCGAATCTGAACCGAACCTAAACCGCTAAAAAATTTCTAGCTGAACGTAAACCGAACCTCTAAAATGCTTCTGAACCGATTCAAGCCTCATGATTTTATTTTTATAAAATAATATGTAAGTTATTATTAGTATAATGAAAAAATTTCAATTATATTCTAATTATTTTAAAACTGGCATCAATCACATTTGATTGATAAGTGTCGGTCATAATTTTTATAAACTTTAGTATATTGTCATTTTACAACATTTTTTAAATACTTTAAGCTTATAAATTATAATGCTTAGAGAAAAATTAAATCCAAAATATTATAGATGACACAAATCTGATATCATATTAGCAGTGTCGGCTCAAGTTAGTGTGAAAAGATGTTTTTTAAAAATTAAATTTATACTATCTCCTTATAGATGTAATTTGAGTGAGACGAATTTTGAAGATGTATTAATTGTCCGGCTTAATAAAAAAAATTTAAGTTAAAAAAAAGTAAAATATTGTTCATATTAAAATTAATTATTGATTTTTATATTTATAAATTAAATATTATTTATTATGTACAATTATAAAAATGAAGGTTTTATACATGTGTTTTTTAAATTAATGATAAAATAAAAAAAATATTTTCCCTATACATAATTCGAATGTAGGTTCGAATACAAAAGTGTTCAACCGGTTTTTAGAGGTTCGAACCGAACCGATATTTAAATTTTTACAAACCGAACCTTGAACCGTTATTTTTATCCGAACCGATATTCGTTTCGGTTTGGATCCCTGCTTGCACACAATTGAGATAAATAATTTTATATCATTTTTAGAATATGACTTGAGTAATTATTCAATAATATAATATATTATCACGAATATTTAATTTAAAAAATTGTGACAGAAAGCAGGATCTGCATAAGTCCCTAAATTTTCCCCAAAACTATTTTTTTAAAAGATATAGGACGCCCTTAGACTCTTTACAACTTTATAATATTTTTTATATTCGCGTAAGTTCTCAATCCAAATGCCGTAGAATCTAATAATATTCAGGATGAATCAGGTGATCCGTCTCCTCCGCCTAAGGAAGACTATTTACAGCATTCTGGTTCTTCGGACGAGGGAGGTGATCTGGACGAAAGTGATCTTGAGGATATCAAAGGAGAGTGGGACGCTAGCTCTGCCATTTCCACCTCAGATTCCGACTCCTTATCTAATGCATCGTCCTTCACCGATCTTCATTTGGGTAATGCGATAATTGACCTTTTATATTTTTTAAAATCAAATGTGTATTTTTGGTGGAGATGCGCAATTCCTGGAAAAATTTAATCATAATTAAATTAATTTAAATTAGAAGGTAAATATTCAAAATGTTCACCCATGTTAATTTATCTATCATATTTTTAAAAATCGTCTGCTTATTTATAAAAATGAACTATTGTCTGCTTATTTTTTAAAAAAATATTATAACCCTTTACTACATTTTTTGATAAGTGTTAAAATGAACAATTTTATGCTTCTTTTGTTATATATAAATTTGGTATATTCCAAATTCCCGATAATATCATCCCATTTTTGATTTCCATTTATTCATAATCCTGATGTTGAATCATTTTATTAAAGTATTAAAACGGTTTTGATGGTACTTATTTATTTTTTCTATTGATAATAATATGGAAATTCATCAAATATTTTTTTTATTTTTGAGATATTTCGATATTTTTAATTTTATTATCTTTGTCAACCGATTTGTATTATCAAACTTTTTTAAGAATAATATACCATATGCATTCAAACTCAATTTCGTAAATTTCAATAAAAAATTAATTTTTTTTAAAAATAAAATTGACTTTGGACGCACATTCTTAATGAATTTGCATATTTTATATATGAAAAAGGAATCATTTTATCAATTTGCATAAATATTTTTTGGTTGTTGCTTTTTTCGAGGAACGTATTATTTTATTTTTTAGACATTTTTTCAGTTTATTAATAAAAATACTAAGAAAATAAAACTAAAAAAATAAAAAATAATATACCTCTTGAAAGAAGCAGTAACCTATTTGTATGACCCAACTTAAAAATTATTTTAGATTGATACATGCCATACATTTTGGATATGAAAATTTCAGCGTGTTATAATTTTTCGAAAAAATTAAGCGGTTTAAGAGGCCGAGTCAAAGTCGTCATGCTTTTACTTACTATCATTATTAGGAATGGTAAATATGCCTCCAAAATTTAAAATTTTATGGAAGGTCCACATCATATGCTATAATAGTCTTTACAGACACCGTATTACTTGTGCCTAACATACTTTTAATGAGGACTCTATATTCTGCTTTAATCCTTCGACACATATCCACACTGATCAACTAGGACATTGATATGAGTTGCTAAAGGCATGGCAAAGTTTCAAAAATCTACTCTACTGAAACATTCGAATGTTAAAAAAATATTTTTTATCCCTTGTTTCCATGCCAATAAAAAGGGTTTGATCCCATTCCATGCCAATTTATAATATATTCTTTTTAAAAGCTGTAACATTACTGATATAACTCATGCGTTATTTATTATTATGTTCCAAATAATAAAAAATTATTAATAAAAATATATAATATCTTAATGTACTCGTCAGAGGGAGTCTCTGAAAAATATTTCAATGAAAGTAGAAATCATGCAGTAAAGGAATCCAAATTCGTGAGATCATATTAATTCACCTTAGATAATTCTGGCAGAAATATAGCAACACAATTAGCCATAAGGCGATCTATTAGTAAAGACATATTACATAAATATACCACGATTTGGAGCCTACTTAAAATAGAAGACGCCGAAAGATAACTATCAAAATAGGAGAGAATTCTAGAAGATGATATATATGGTGAATTTCATGACAAATCAACAAAAAGACACGATTTTCAACCCGACCCCTCAAATTTTTCTAAAATTGTTACAAGAGTTTATATATTATAAATAAGAAAAAAATAAAATTTTAGCCTCCAACTTAAAACAGCGGCTGAGATACTGGCCTCTAAATGTCGAAAAATGTTTTAGGAAAAATGCACCCCCTTTATAAATATCTTTAGATACAATTAAGCTATAAGCTTCATTTAAATTTAATTATATAGCTTAATAATCGGTCTTTACAATGACTTAATGTAAAATATTATTTAAAATTGAAATGTTAAAGATCGGAAATGATTATAAAATCAAATCGGCATTTTTTTTTCAAATTCTAATAGCTATAGGGTTAATTAATAAATATGCAAAATTTTAAGTTGGGCCGAGCACAGGATTGGGAGATACGGTATTTTAATCATGAGTCTATTGAAAATATTCTTTATAAATATTTGATATTACATTAATCATCAATAATTGTAATATAAATCAAAAGATAAAATGTTTTATGTTTAATATTTAAATGAATAGTTATTTATGATTTGAAAAAAAGATTTGGGGGGGGGGGCTATGGTTAATTTAATTGATAATTGAAATTTCTTTCCTTATAACAATATCTGCAAAATACAAATCAATTGTTGATTATAATTTTATAAAATTATATGTTGTAAATTAAATAATTTACACACAATATGAATATAATTTCCTTAATTTTATTTTCCAAATAAACACATGAAACTTTTGTTTCGGGAATGCTTTTAGCCTCTTAAAGAAAATTATTCATTTTATTCTGGAATAAATAAATGGAATATGCATTGTGTTTTACACTATGACATAGTTAATATGTTTGTTCATATTATTTTCACTATAATACATCATACAGGTATGGAGAGTAGATTATTATTCCAGTGGAATACCTGAACGTGGTCCTGTGCCACAAAAGCATAATTCATAAGTCATATATAACTAAAACTTCACCAACATTTAAACTTCATTTTAATAATTGTGAAATGCTGACTGTTGCGAAGATATAAATGAATGTGGGATTAACATATTTAATTTAAAAAAAAACAAATCTATAAAATAGGATGCCAACCTGCATAATGTTTCAAGAGTCTTTCGATAAACAGATAACCATTGTTTCTTCTTCGTTTTATGGCGATTTTCAGGTTTACCCAGGTAGGTCAGTTTTCTCTGATTTTTCATTTCCATTTTTGACGGTCCTGAGCATCAATATTTGTAAGATTCATGCTTCTCATATCCGCCGCTATCACATTTGTCCACGTCATCTTGGGCCTTCCTCTCAGTCTTGATCCTCCTACTTCCATCAAAGTGCATTTCTTTACCCAGTCATCTTTTGTCATACGTTCCACATGTCCAAACCATCTTAGTCTATTTCGTAATATTACCACTCCAATCATTTCTATGCCCAATCTTGCTCGCAATTCCTTGCTAGTTTTTCTTTCTCTCAGAGATACCCCACACATTCATCTAATCATCCTAATCTCTGTTCTTTCTAATTTGGCCTCGTGAGTCTTTTTCATTACCCATGTTTCGCCGCCATAAACTAAACACCTTCTCACACAGCTTACTTAAACTTTCCCCTTTAACTTCAGAGAAACTTATATTTGTTAGAATAGACGACATCTCTATGAACTTCTTCTATGCTTGTCTGACCCTTGCAACAACGGCAGAATCTACACCGCCATCTGCGTTTAGTATATCACCCAAATAACAAAACTTATCCACTTTTTTAGGGTTGACCCATTGCCAATATCCAGAAACCATTTTCTACGTTATCATTATTATGTACCCTTTTATGCACGTTCTACAAATAAAGGTCATTCTTGCTAACTGTTACAATTCCGTATTTGAATTGTAAAATTGTCGAAAGCTTTGTGGGAAAGACTTTTAATAAAATCAAATTGAAACTACGCTGTAACTAAACGGTATTTTAAAACACAACACTGAAACTTTAATAAATCACAAACCAAAAAACTGTTTATTTCGAAATTTTATGTCTGTTTATATACATTTTTTTAATATGCAAAAAAAAATTAAAAGTATATTAAAGTTCATCAAATTATAATATATTTCAAAAACTAAAATATTCAAATATCCTTAAATAATAATTTACAATCGTCGATGCTCTATTAACAATATTAAAAAAACCAACTAATTATATTGTAAAATAATTCATATTCAAATTATTGCGTATTCATAAAAAATGGAATACGCATAAATAAAACACTAACATCAAACTTCCTTTTTTCACGCTACATCTATTATGTACCTATTTCTGGCATCTGGTGCATTGGATTGAATATCTAGCAACTCCTTTCCCACATACACCACAAGGCCTCTTACCGGATCCATCTTTAGATTTTCACCACCAACCATCACCTTTGTCTTTGCTGCATTCATTTTCAGGCCCTTTGCTAATTTCATCCCTTAATTCTTCCTCACTGTTTGCCATTAATACAAGGTCATCTGCATATAATAGCTCCCAGGGAAGTCTTTCACGGATTTCTCTAGCCGCCACATCCATTACTAAGATAAATAATAATGGACCCAGCATGGATCCTTGATGAAGTCTTACCTTCACTTCAAAGCTTTCACTATCTCCATCATCCGTCCGTACTGCAGTTTATTCTCCAAGGCCCATCTAGTAACCTCGCGTGGCACTGTCAAATGCTTTCTCCAAATCAACAAACACATATACAGTTTCTTTTCTTTCGCAAAATACTTCTGTATTTGTCTCACCACAAAAATTGCCTGTCGTGCCTTTCCCCGATGTAAAACCAGACTGCATTTCATCAATTTTAGTTTGTTCCTTTATCCGCTTCTCTAACACCTTCTCAAATACCTTCATTGTATTTAAATGTTTTATATAACTATCCAGATAATGAAGATAGAAAACTTAGTAGAATTTTAATTATAATAAATCTTGTGATTACTAGGCAAGAGTTTAATAGCTCTGTAAGACCCGCAATCTAAAGTATCACCTTTCCCCTTGTATACTGGGATAATTTTACTTCTTCACCAGCCCTCAGGGATAGTTCCTTCTGTGATAATTTGATTGGCTAAATTCATTAACCATTCAATCCATAAGTCATTAGAACCTTTAAACATTTCTGATACCACCCTCGTTAAACCCGATGTCTTCCCTTTTTCTATCTTTTTCACTGCTCTCTTTATTTCGTCCTGCCAAATTTACACCCTGGACCTTTTACCTTTGCACAACTAACTATTATCCCATTCATTTTCTTCGTTCAAAAGTCCTTCCTTGTAGATCTTTCAGGTGTTCTTAATACCACTACTATCAATCATCGTTTTTCCTTCCATATTTTTCAAACATTTAACACCTGCCTCTTTTTGCCATTCGAACAAATTTCCCATTCCTTCAGCGCATTCCATTTCTTTAGCAAACTCCTGCCTTTTTTCTTCTTGCGCCTTCGCTATTAATTTCTTAGCATTTCTTTTCGCCATCTTGTAAATATCGTTATTTTCTTTACTATTATACCATTCTTTGAAGCACCTTCTTTTCTCATCCACAGCTTTCGCTACCTCCGGGTTCCACCACCAAGTCTCCTTATGTCTAGGCGGCTCTTTTGTCCATCCACATACCTCCTCAGTTGTCATCACCTAGACTTTCTTCATGGTTTCCCACTTGTGCCACCTCCGCCTCCCTTATCGCCAATGTCATATTGAATTGAAGTCTAGCACTTTCTTCAATTTCCAAACCTTCAGCATTGGCACAAACTTTCTTTTAGTGATCCTGGCGCCTTTACTCCTATAACTAACTAGTCGATGCTGATTAATACATTCCTCTCCCGGTATCACTTTCACATTTTTTACTATACATCTATCACATCTCTAATTACAAAAAATCCACTGAATTTTTGGTATTACCTGACTTATAAGTCACCAGCTTCTTTGATTCTTTCTTAAACATTGTATTACAATCATATCTAGGGCTGTGCCGATCCACATATTTTTCACCGATCCGATATTTATATTGATTTTTCACCACCCCCCTTTGAACCAAATGTAATTAAAAAATCAATATTTTTTATACAAAAAATCGAATTATGCTTTTAATTTAATTTTTTTATTTCTACCATAATTAAGCAAAGTTTAAGGATATTGGTAGTGATAAATCAATTTTTCATTATTCCTCTCCGTGAAATTAGAATTCCGCAGATAACGCATTTTGCAAAATTATCTTTGTCTTAATATTTCCGTAATTCAGATACCATATTTAAAAAAATTCTTTTATTTAAAGTATAAATAATAAAATTGGCTTTATTATTTAAAAAGATTTAAAATAAATAAAACTTTGGGTTTTCCTTTCTCTTTTTATAAAACTTTTAAAATACTATAAATCTATTTAAAAAAATAAATAAAATTTAAAGAGTGTTGTGCATTTGCATTATTTAAAAAAAATTTATTAATGTAAAAATATACATAAAATAACAAAAAAAAGAAAAGTAAAAAAATCGGATCGGTTTTTACAGGTATCGGCCCGATCCGATATTTTTTATTTAATATCGGCACAGCCCTAATCATATCCATAGCATCACTAAAATCTAAAATCCTCTCCCCTTCCAGATTTCTCATGCCGTAACTGAATTCTCCATGTACTCCTTCATAGCCCTCACTACTCTCTCCCACATGTCCATTCAGATCACCAGCCAGGATTATCCCCTCTTCATTTGCCGTCTCGATGTCTCCCCCAATAGCAGTCCCAAAATATATCTTTCTCTTCACTTTTTCCAACCTGAGGAACATATGCCGTGATAATATTATATAACATTCTACCAAAAATCATCTTGATAACAATTATCTGGTTATCTAGCCTTCTCACTTCGACTACTTTGTCCACCAATTTCTCTACAACCAATACTCCAACTCCAGCCTTATCATCATAGCTTCCTTGCCTGAAGAATTTATACTTTTCATTAGCCTTGCTAATCGTTCTTGCGCCATTACCTTTCCATCTTGTCTCCTGTATGCAGCACACATTTATATGCCTTCTATGCAATACATCGACCGCTTCTCCCGCTCTTCCCGTCATACTCTCAACATTCCCTGTCGCAACCCTTACTCGATTCCCCGTAAACTGGTTTCTCCACTTATTAACAAGTCGTTGGCCGTCATAAGTTTCATTTTCACGAACCATCCTTCTTTTTGTCTTAGGCGGATGAGGAGGTCCATGGGGTACTTCGGCTGTACCCCGCCCATGCTTTGTTGCAATCATAAGAAAATTTTGTAGCAAGGTTTTTACAATCGGATGCCCTTCCTGACATTAACCCCTTTAAGTGCTTTTTACACCCCGTCAAAGAGACGGTAATTTTATTCTAAACCTAGATTAAAGGGAAAACAGATAACCATTGTTTAAAAGTTATAAAATCAACTGCACTATAATCTAATAATATCTTAACTTTTTTTTAGATTGAAAAGTAGCAATCAGGAATTTCAGGATTACAGAGAGATTTTGATGAATAGTGCATATGCACTATTGGTTGTCTGCGGAAGGAATACCCATGTCAAACAATTTAACGAATAATTTTTTATCAGATTGAAATTAAAAAATAATATATAATTCTATAAAATAAAAATAATAGGACTCATCCTAAATCTTACAATTCAAAGTAAAATAAAGGCAAAAAAAACGCGCCGATGTTACAAAGCCATATTATTGCGCGTAATAAAAAGATTAAAACAAAATGCAGAAAAAAATGCCAATCATAATATCTCCACCCTTCCCCACTCTAAAGTTCCTCATTGGCTGGGCAAGGGTCTCTGCGTCCTAGGACCGAAATAATTCCTCCAACTCCTGTCCTACCCCCAACTCCAAGAACTCTTCATGCTCTACCGCCTGTCTTCGAGGTACCTCTAATGAAATGCTGTCTGAACCCCCGACATTTCCCCAATTTCTTGTCCCCACTTTTTGTCTCCACATCATTCCCTTTTCCGGGGAAAACCCGGAAGTGATACTCTACTCCGCAGCGAAAACATTGAACGTTGGTCCCCAATCTCGGTTGCGGCTCCAACCTGGTTTCTACGCTCCTGGCTCGAAGAGTGCGTATATCTTGATCTCTAGCCATTAATCTCCACTCGCTGACAAAGGGTTCCATATCATTACTTATTATGGTGGTCCTAAGCATATGTGTTCCAAAATCTATATAACTTTGAATAAAAACAATGTACCTAAACAAAAATACTAATTCACTCTTATAAAAATTACCTCACAACCATATTAATTCACCTACTTTGCAAAGATCTTATTGTTCACCTATTACCATTCTCCAGATAGCTTAGATAGGTAAGACAAAGTATTCTTCAAAGAATAGAATCGATCTCGGAATATATGCCAGAATCTTATTATTTTAATGCCACAAAATTTTTTAAATATTTATCTAAATTTTTTATTTATTTCTAGAGTAAAATAATTTAAAAGATGAAAATATAAACACTATTTTTTTCTTCCTCCTTATGGGGTTAGAAATCAATTTGTAGAATCAATTTCTTTCATATTAATTACTTAAATTATGTTTTGTATAGGTTACATTAAAAAGTATCGTTTCATCTCTGATTTCCTATACTTTCTTTTTACAGAACCAGAGAATGTCGAAAATTATCAGGTGAGCCTCGATACTGACAATCATATTCTAACTACTACAATTGAAACGCATCACAAAATACCCCAACAATCACTCGAGGAAAAGGTTCGAAGTAGAATTGAAGTGCGTATTTTTTTTACATTACTCATTTTTTTTAAGACTTAATTAAGGCTGCGTCCAAACTTGTTTGAAAAGCGTGAAATAAAAAACGTTCACACAAATTTTAAAATTTTAAGGAAATTATGTTAAAATTGAAGCTTTCAGATAATCTTAAATATTTTTTGGTTTTAACATGTCTTTTTTTATTTTTCCAATAGAAATTTATTTACATTTAAAGTTTTCAATATTTGTAAATTTTTTTATATTTTTCTTACAGTTTTGTGCGTAGATAGTATATTGATGTTAATGTAAATATTTATTTTTTAAAAAGGAAACTTAAACCTGTTACTAGTTGCACTGGGAATGCAACTATTCAGGCGCGTAGCCTCGAATTCTCTACATAATTTTTTTTGGGACATTAAAAATTTATTATAACCAATCATATCGAAAGTGACAATTTCGAATATAAATAAAAATATTGGGAAATTCAAAATATTTATAAGCAATATAATATTGTTAAAAAATGTTATAGCTATACCCGATATGACAGTTAAATATAGGAATAAACATTATATGATGATTTAAAAAGTTAATAAAATTATCTTTCATAAATGAAAATTTATTCTTTACGATTGCTCCAATTTTTCAATTATTTGTTCTGAATGGGGATTAAATTTCGATGTATGTTAAGTAAAGCTAGCCCATTTATTTGATTTTAAAATGGCCTACTTCCTAATGAATAAATAACCTCTCATTTGTGCTTCTACTAATTGGTATTGTTGCCAAAATATATAGTAATTTTGATATATTTTAAATAAACTCCATAATATATTTTAAAGTATGCAATGCTTCCTTTGCTTTTCTGGACTATTTACTAAGATTAATCTATACCAAGATTTAAATTCTGAAATTAATAGATTCATACTTTCTAGAAGTGTAATATTGGCTAATAGTAATTAGTAGTTATAAATTAAGTAGAATTTTTGAATGATATATCTTATATCCATCAATGTTTAAGGTTTAAAACAATATAAGAAAATATATAAATTTTCTTAAGATAAAATATTGATATACAAAATTAATTTTAACTTTGCTAAAAAACCTATTTTAAATAGAATACTTTGGCAATTCATAAAACCTTATATATTTTTTCAAAAAATTTTGATTTCTCTCAGCGATAACACTAGATGTATGCATTAAAAATTAAAATGATTAGTATGTTTACAGAGTAAAATCATATATGATATCGGATCGGTAATCGGTCGATTTTAATATCGGTAATATCAGATCGTATCGGCCTCCCAAAAGCGATATCGGTACATTCCTGGTATTATATATTATTTTTGTCCATAGTTATAATTACTCAGTGGAATTCATTTATATTTAATTTTGGAGATTTGGATCTTATAAAATTTATTGACGATTCTATATGATTTGTAGATATTTATTCTATCACTATAAAAACTTATCTTTTATAGATCTTTTTTTCCATCAAAAATTGACTCAATCACAATAATATCTCTCGTAAATATAAATGTTGCAAAATATAATTTTAATAATCATCTTCAACTTTTCCACATACCTTTCTCCTTTTTTTCATTCAAATTTGTAGGTAATCTGGTGTTTTCTTGATCTCCTGAATGTATTCTATTTTTTATTCCCTCTTGACTGAATAAATGTTTTTTCATATATTTTCAATGTGTGATAGAGATGACTCAAATTAATTTACAAGATCGCCATTTTGCTAAGCGAAAATAATTATACTCACGTGGTTTCCTTTTTATTTTACAATCCATTCATTTTAATCATCCCATAAATTATTTTATTTTTACATATATTATTAGGCTCGAAGAGTCAAGGCGGAACTCGAAATAACCCTGGAAAATTTGAGGGCGCCCGTCATATGCATCATGGGTCACGTGGATACTGGCAAAACCAAAATCCTTGATAATGTATGAATAATATATACATATGTATCCCTATATTGATCGATCAATCACGTGATAGGACAAAATTTTAAAATTAATACCTTAAAATACCCGCTGGGCTGTGAGGTGTTTGGGGCAACATTTTGAGTAAGAAAATGAAATGAAAGAATGACTATCATTTATCTTGAGCGCTTTCAGAGAATTGGGAGCATTAGTTGCACACAAGAAAATTTAACTTTAAACTTGAAATCGAACTTTTCACCTTAGTTTGTTTTCCCAATATTTTTTTCTCCCTCTATGAATTTTAAGGAAGGCAACTGAAGTCAGAATTTATAATATACGAATCATCTCAACAAAAAGGCAAATAAGTTAAAATGGCCCCTAAAGTTTGAAGCGAGAGAATTTAAAATATTAATGTTAATTAAAACGTGGCCTTTTATTTCAATCGGTAATTACAAATCAGACAGATTTTATTATGGTAATTTAAAGAAATAATTAAATATATAATTGTTTGTATTATTTAATATAATGTAAAATAATATAAATAAATTTAATATAATAATTAATATTATTTACATATTTAATATAAATTATTCTATGTATTTAATATTATTAACATAGTTAGCATAATTTATTTTATGTATTTAATATATATTGAATATAGTTTATATATTTAATATAATTATTTACAATATATTTAGATTTATATTATATATTGATTTATATTATAACATTGAATTGGCGAATAATTGTTTTCACTGATAGCAACTTATTGAGTGAGAGTGAATATCATCTTGAATAGCTTTATAATTGATATAGTAAAAATATTATGTATCATATTGTATTTTACATTGAATTGGTGAATAATTGTTTTCACTGAGCAGCTTCTGAGTGAGTTAATCTGAATAGCTTTATAATTGATATAGTAAAATTTTTTATGTATCATATTGTATTTTACATCCAATTAGTGATTAATTGATTTTAATGATATTAGCTTTGTAATTGATATAATAAAAATATTATGTATTGTAACATTTCGAAGAATTTAGAAAGATTGGGAGATTAGAACCGTTGTCAAATAAAGAAAGGTTAGAACTAAAATGATACTAAATCAGACTAATATCCTCGATTATATATACTTTTCTATATATTCGTCAAATAAAGAAAAGTTAGAACTAAAATGATACTAAATCTTTATTAAATAATAAGATAAAAACATAATCAAAATAAATTAATATAAATTAAAATTAAAAATTAAAGATTAAAAAAATTAAAATTAAAATTAAAAATTAAGTTCGTAAAATCATAATTTAATCATCATTTTTCGCATCATAATTTCTCCTTTTATATCCTTTTTCTTTAATCAACATTTGCATAGTCTCAATTTGTACCGAGATTTAATTCTTGTAGATTTGAATATCTTTGGGCTTCGTAATTTTGTTTAAAAGTAATTTGCCTGTCTGGCGTTTTAATCTAGTAAATTTGCATGTTACCACAATTACAACATGTATCATCTTATATCTTAAATGGAATTGGTGAATAATTGTTTTGACTGGTGGTATTTCCTTGTGTAAATGTATTTTCTTGATGGTATGAATAATTTATAATATTTTATAGATAAAAGATAAATTAAAATTCTATTTAATGTATTACTTTGACATCCAATTCTTGCATAGGAAATGGAAACTTTAATACAAAGGTAAAGGATGATAATTATAATATATATAAAAACCATCTTAGTTTGAGAACCTGCATTTGCACAAAAATGATTTTTAAAATAAAATAAAATATTTTTGAAGGCAGATTGTATCTATAATATATTAATATAATAATTATCAATAATTTATATACTAATGCATTCTTTAGACATAGTAAATAAATCGTTCTAAACAATCCATTGTCCATGGCATGATTTATTTGTACATGTGTAAAATCACATTTTAAGCTATAAATGATAGTCACCTTTTTTCACCTTTTCGTAAGCGACACAAGGTATAAACATAATCCCAATTCGATACTGTGGGACGATACGAAGTTAGTCTTAAAAGAACAAGAAGAAATGAAATTGTATTAACTATGGTTACGCCAAATAAAATAATAAAATTAGAATAAATATTTTAACAAAATTAAATAGGAATTTATAAAATCATATTATTTTCATTTTACCCAATTTTTATTTTTACAAAATATTTATTATACAAAATAATATCGATTGTTTTTATAAAAGGGTTATTATCGGAGATTTTTGAATATTTATCCGAGATTTTGTGAATATCGGATTGGTGGTTTTTTGTTTCTTTTTAACTATTTAAATTTTTTTCATATGCATTTTCTTCTTCCTAAAGTTTATAAGCTATGATGACTGGTTCATCATGAGCATAACTTATCAAGTATAGGATGGAGCTTCCAAGAAAATTAATTTTAATATACCAAGCCTTTTATTATAATATATAAATATCCTTGATCTCCAACCTCTAAGGATAATTTCTAGCTATACGAAAGATGATATAAAGAATTTTTTTTAAAAAAAAGAGAAAGAAATTTTAAGTCAAATGATAAATAGTAGGATTAAAAGAATATAGGCTTTTAAGCACACATATATCTATTGATTTTAAGAAAATAGTCACTATTAGCCATTATGGCGGTATTGATTTCCTCGTTTTTTCCCGATATTGACTTCGCTTTAATAAATTCGCTATATATGATTCGTAAAATAATTTTCACTTAATTTTCTTTGTGATTTGGTTTACCTTCTCTGTAAGATTTTCGCTATTATAAATTGGCACTAAAAGTTTTGCTTTTATGTATTAGCTCTAAAGAGATCTGGGTAAAAGTTTTTCTATAAAAAAATTCTCTCTATGGTCATCACTGAATAATAGCATGCGAATATGAATTCATTTATCTGTAAAATTAATTTGCTTTAATAAACATTCGCGAAATTGTGTTTTGATAAAAGTTTTTGCGGTCTTATTGGGTTGTTAAATTTAAAACTTATATTGATGAAAAAATCTTCAGAAAATTTTTGAGCAAAATTTTTGAGGATTAATTTTTAATATATCGGCGGGGCACGGCCGGCGCAGAAATTTCTTTCTACCGTTTTATTCTAATTCAAAATCACTCTTGTAATTTTTTAATGTCAATCAGGATTTTGATGAATTTTTATTTTCTACTATTTTAAAATCTTTATTATATTGACGTCATTATAGAATTCAATCAATCTAAAATTCCAAAAGTTACCATAATTTTACATATTTTTAAAATGGATGCATCTACTTTAATAATTTAAATAACTTTAGTATCCTAACTCTGGATAATAAAAAATCCATAGTCTGGAAATTTTTTGCAAAAGAATTAGAGAAATTATTACTGCTCTAAGATATAAAACTGCAGAGGTTGAATTTGAATTCGAGGAATATCAAAGAAAATGCCTAAGTAATAGATTTAACATCAGACATGTTAGATCTTGACAGCATTGATCTATACCCGGATACCCGTTTTCAAATTGGCAATTCCAATGATAATAACAATAATTCCACGCATATGAAACTTAAAATTAAATACCCCAAGTTGGCATAGTATATTAATTATGCTAGAAAGCATATCTGGATTAAATAAGAATTTAATTAATAATGTTTTGAAAAGAATTGGGAAGCACTTTCTCAAATTATGAATCTGATCTGGTAGAAGAACTGTAGCATTTTTTCAAAATTTAAAGAAACTGTCTACAAAAAGAGCCTACTTTAAACTTGGCGTTACTTTTTAGAAGTGAAATTGAAACACATTTAATAGTAAATGATAGTGATAGTTCTGAAAGTATTTCACTTAAGGAAAATATGCTAAAAAAAACTTGCGTTACGATTTCCGGTTTGTAATCTGCAAGTAATATTATATAAGTATATTCTTTTATTTTTTATTTAAAATTATCTAGGTATTGGCTTCTCTTTTAGATCCAAAATTTTAAAAATTGACAATTGTGTCAAAGTATTTAATAGAGCAAAATTGCTCAGCTTCAGAATTTATAATAAAACATCTTAAACTTATAGAGAATGATGATAATCAGGTAGTAAATATAGCTAATGAGGATGAAGATGAATTATTAAATTCAAGTTATTTGACAAATTTGGCAAATAAACATTTAACAAATATAAATTATGATTCCAAGTTAGGTGACTTAGAACAAGAATGCCACAGTTTTCTTGGAAAACGACATTCACAAGATATGAACGTTCTAAATTTTTGGAAAGAAGAGTGAACTTCCCAATCTTTCCAGGCTCGCCAAAAAAATTCTTTACATTCCGGCGACTAGCACACCTAGTGAAAGAGTTTTCTCTACCGCTAGATTGCCGTTAAATTCAAGGAGATCATTATGTCCCAAAAATTTTAATAAAATAATTTTTATACATGATAATTATAAAATTACGAAATCGATTTTGGATATAATAAGTTTTCTATTAAACGAATATTAAAAAATATGCCGAGATATCTGTAGAATAGTGTATATTTATTTGTTTTTTAAAAAAAAATTAATAAGCAATTACAAAAATATATCTTATAAAAATTTATATATGCGCCAATTTACGCCGATTTTATTGACGGCGGCTAAAAATCGGCGCGCCGCCGGGTCGATTAGATTTTTTAAAAATTGCGCCGGCCGCCGATAGTCGGCGCACAGATCTAATTATATATAAATGAGCTTTTATTAAAAATATGTGGAATTATTAGTAAAATTTGATCAGTTTATTTTTTATATTTAAAAAAATTTTTTTCGCTTTTTTTCCCAGGGAATTATTTTCCACTATATTTTTTAAATTCGAAAAAAGGGGGAATCTATTTCCGGGGAATTATTTTCTGCGGGAATTTTTTTCCCGGGGAATTATTTTCCGTTTCATATATATATTTATCATCTGATTTTATAAAGTTGCGCAAGACACACGTTCAAGAAAACGAGGCCGGTGGAATAACCCAACAAATAGGGGCCACTAACGTTCCCAAGCAGGCTATCATCGAGCAGATCAAATTCGTTAAAGGGGTTTTTCATAGTTTATTACATTTATATATTTTTTTTCTCTATATCAATATCGAATTAGATGGGGCGGGGCTGAGTTTCTTTTAAAAACAATTGCTTTCCTGTAAAATTAATTGAAATGGAGCAATTCAGAATTTTATAACGAACGAGTTATATCCCTGCAATAACCAAGCTGCGATATAGAGTTAATTTAAAATTAAAGTTTTTAAAATTATTTTTTTTAAACCTTACGAACGATGGAAAAACGGAATAAGACTGCCCCCCCCCCAATCCCGAGATTGCTTTTATCGATGTATTTATCGCCCAGAATAGTAGAAGTGCCCGGAATAATTTTATTGATTGCGCAGAGTAAAATACTTAAAGCTTAGGATCATAATTTTTTCTTTAAGACGACGATTTTGCTAAGTAAATTAGTATTTTCTTAGAACTTTTTTTTTATTAAATTTCTCCGAAGATAGCCCAAGTAATTTTCTACTAGTTTAATTAAAGTGTTTATTTTTTTTATTTGCCTTATATTATTTATGATTTTCTGGGTGCTAAAATTAATTATCACCTTAGATCATAAATCGAAATTTTAGTTTTTATAAATACATAAAATATATACTTTTATTTTACCTAAAAAATATTATTATAATAATAGTAATTATATTATATAACAAATAAACTAAAATAATTAATAAATAAATACATTATTCCCAGTTACATATTGAGTTCATATTCCAAAAAGCTAATTTGAAAAAAATGTTAATAAAAATAATAGACAGTAAAAAATTAAAATAAAGAATAATTAAAGATTGAATTTATCTTTTATAAATGGAATCATTATTTAGAAAATAATAATAAAATTTACTAAAAAGTGGAATTTTCATGGATTTAGTTTAATATTATTTAATTTTTTTGTTTAAATGCTGACATTTTTAAAATAAATTTTGATTTTTTTAGTAAAAGATTTATCAAAGAAAGTTTTCAAGGGAGTTACTAATGTTTATCTAACCATTACCATATTTATAAAACAAAAGATTCATCATTTTAAGCCATAGTAACCAGTAAATCTTGTTTGGACTGAACCGGAAGGGGCCAATGTATTTTTTGTGGAATATTTAATCATATAAAATTATTAAAATCGAGTTCTTTCTAAGGAAAAAATATAACTTTCTTACCAATTTATAGACTAATTCTGAGCGTTTTATATATTTTTTTATCCATTCATTTTCTTATCTGAGCAGCGTTTCAGTTATTATACTGAACAATTATATATATATTTTTTTCAATTTTTATCTCAGCTATCGGTTATTTATTTTTTCTGAGCATTTCAATTTAATATTATGAGTCATTAAATATTATTTTTTTCATATAACCCGACATGACATGTTCCAGTTCTGCGAAGCCGACCTGAAAATACCTGGCCTCTTGATAATCGATACACCGGGTCATGAGTCCTTCAAGTTAGTCATTATACGTATTTTTAATACGCGATTAACAGCTCAGTTGATATTTTATAATAAAATCAGATTTTGTTTTATTTATAGTTCGTTTTTTATCCTTATAGGTAGAGGCTGGGCCTCGGAAAAGTTTTGAAGGCCAAATAAAGTTTAATTGTAAGGGCTCTACTTGCAGGAATTTAATCCATATTAAGAAATGTTTATTGCTCACGTTTTTAAAAATTTTATGTGGCGTTTTTGCCATTATTTAAATGACACATTCTTTCAATAATTACAAGTTATAGAATATCTTAGTTGCTATGATAATAAAACGAAACTTATAAAAGGCTCCGAATCTATAAACTTTAAAATAATGTCATATTTAGATATTTATTATTGTTATGAATTCCTAGACGAAGTTTTATTTTACGATTATCTTCGCGCACACATTTTAAACGGTGGCCCCAAATTTCGTTCGATTTCCAATAATATATATTTTAAAAATTTAATTAAGAAATTTGCGAAATCGCGGCTCTTCGCTTTGCAATATAGGGATTCTAGTGGTCGATATCATGCACGGAATGGAGCCTCAAACTTTGGAGTCGCTCAAAACTATGTTGGACAAAAAAATACCGTTTGTCATTGCTCTCAATAAGGTATAAAGAAGGAAAGAAAATAAGAGTTATCCGCAAAATCGTGCCAATGAAGCGCCTCTATCGATCCAAAAAAATATATTTTTTTAAAAAAATAAGATTGGTTTTGAGAACTAGTTGAACTACATGTTAAATTTTAGAAATTAGGTCCTGAAACTGGATCCAAAAAAATATAATAAAATATACTATCGAAATTTAAAGCGATTTTGCTATCCACCAATATAAGTAGATAGGCTATGCTTGCATTTTTTATTTGTGTTTTAAGCTTTACAATTATAAATAATAATAAATGTTAAATAATTTAAATGTTTGAAATGATAAATTTATCTATGAGGAAATTAACAATGGATTTTAACATTTTTCGTGGAAAATTTTCCTGGTTTCTCCTAAAATAAAATAATATAAATAATGGCATGAAAGATCATTATTCTCACCCTCGTGGGTGTCCAGGGTTATGCTTTTGAATATTCAAATATTTTTTGGTTTTAACTTTGGGAAAAAATCCTTACTCCTCTCATTTCATATTTACCTCGGCTCCATTTTCTTTTTGGATGAATGAACAGATCGATCGGCTCCACCAATGGAAAAGTTACCCACAAGCCGATATCGAGGATACTCTCAAGCGTCAAGCCCCCAACGTTTCCATGGAATTTAACGACCGCCTTAAATCCATAACCGTTCAATTTGCCGAACAAGTAAGCAAATATATTGCGGTATTGTAAAACAAGGGCTTAAGGGCAAGTTTTACCTTTTTTTGATAGGTTTGTAAGGTTTACAGCAGAGGTATTATATGATTTGGCCTTTCTATATCTTAAAATATTTAAAATTTTAAATAAATCATTTGCCCAAATGGTCTTAGCAGATATGTTTGGAAATATAAATATGAAAAATAGAGGGATGAGTAATTAATTAAACAAAAATATGCCTAAATTTAAAATTAGATAAGATGGGGGAGGGGGACAGTTTATGTAATTTACTATTTTAAAACATATTTTAATAAAGCTCATATATTAATTAATATTATTTTGATAAAATTATAAATAAGTAATGCTGTATACGTTAATACAAAAAAGAAACGCGTTACCCTTTACATTTGAAAACGCGTTACTGACTATTCAAAAAAGTTAGGCGTTACTTAAAAAAATACGAAATTACATAAATTTTCTTTTTATTATTTTTTTGCCCATAGATAATAAATTAAATTATACAAAAGTAATATATAAGATAAGTTCTTTTTATAATCATTTTTTATTTATTTTTAATAACAATTGATTTTTAAAATTTTGGTTAGATAAACAGAAAGCGTAGTGTTCAACACAACTTTCGCTATGTTAAACACACGTTTAAATGGCACAGAGGATGGGAGGGTTGTATTATATTTAATAAATCTTAATTTGGGAAAATACTAAAAATATTTAAACAATAATCTTTTCAAAGAAATTATTAGATCTTCGTCACAAGCATTTTCATTCAGAACCTCATCAAAATTTTTTATTATCTTTATCAGAATTTAATTTTTTTTTCTCTTTAGCTTTCACCTTTTCTGGTGGTAAGCTCCTTCAACATTTCTCTCCATTTTATGTTATTCATACAATCTCTTTTATCTAATTTATACTTCTTTATATTGGCTCTAACTTTATGGCCCCATTGAAGTTTTGGCCTTCCTCTTTTACGTTTGCCCAATTGCCTATGTAGTTCATAGGCCTTCTCATTGTGTGCACATACCATCTAAGTCTGTTTACCATTAACTTAGTCTTAATGGGCACTACCTTTAAACTACTTAGTATTCTTGTACTGCGCACTTTATCCTTTCTTGTTACCCCAGCAATCATCCTCGGCATTCTCATCTCCATAGTTTGTAGACTTCTCTCGTCTAATTCTTTGGTTGGCCATGTTTCCGAACTAAATAGAATAGTTGGTTGTACTATGGAACTGTAAATTTTTTCCTTTTGTGTGGGATTCTTTTGTCAAATAGCACTCCAGATTAGATCTCCACTTTAACCACCCTTGATTAATTTTACTCTTTATCTCTTTTTCTATTGTGCCGTGTGTTTGTATAGTGGAGCCAAATATTTGCAGCTTTCAATTGCCGATATCTGCCATTCATTTATATCAATACTCTCTGTTTCATCTCCTCCTATCACCATATACTCCGTCTTTTCTCTATTTACTTTTAGTCCGTGCTTTTCTGGGATATTTATCCAACTCACTAATCTTTCTTTCATTTCATCCTTGGATTCGGCAAGTATCACAATATCATCTGCAAATATCATATTCCACGGGACTGTTTGAGGTATAAACTGTGCTAATACATCTATTACTGTAATGAAGAGAAGTGGGCTGAGATCCGACCCTTGATGAACTCCTTCGGCTATTGTGAAGCCAGCTGAAGTACCTGTTGTGCTACGGACCATTGTTGTATGGCCCATATACATATCCTATATTATTCTTATATATTTTTCGGGAACCTTTTTGTGGCGTAGCGCCCAACAGATAAGTTTTCTTGGGATTCTATCGAAGGCCTTTTCTAAATCGAGAAATGCCATTTCCACTCATTTGCCTAATTGCGTGATCAGTTGTTGATTTTCCAGGCATAAAGCCAAACGTAGTCTCTCCTATTTCGATATGTCTCTTAATATTTTTTCTATTATTTTTTCGTATAGTTTTAGACAGTGTGACATTAGTTTTATGCCCCTGTAATTTTGACAATTGTGTGGATCCCCTTTATTTTTGAAGATAGGAATTAGATAGCTCTGCCTCCATTTTTGGGGAACCTCTTCATTTCCAAGTATTTTATTGTACAGATTTGTGAGGAGATGTATTCCATCATCTCCTAGTGCTTTAAGGCTTTCTATTGGAATATCGTCTGGACCCCTAGCTTTGTTGTTTTTCATATGTTTGAGGCATGTGATTATTTCTTGTTCTGTTATAGGTTGTACAAGGTTTTGACATGGGGAGTGTTCGTCTAGTTGTATGTGGGGATTAAAGTTGAGAAGCTCCTGAAAATATTCTTTCCATCTATTCATTATTTCTTTTCCCTTTATTATCAATTTTCCATCTTTATTTTTGATTACTTTCGGAGCTCCGTTTAAATCCCTAGAGTTCTTTTCTCGCTGTTTAATCTCTATATTTTATTTTGCCCTTCTTTGGTATGTAGTTCTTCATACACGTCATCGTATGCCATAGATTTGGCCCTAGCCACCGCCTTTGTAACTATTCTCTTGGATTTTTTGTAATTTGTCTTGTCATCTGAGTTTTTGGATTTGAACCATATTTTATATAGGGCTTTTTTCTCCTTTATAGTGGTTTGTACCTCTTCATTCCACCATCATAGTTCTTTGTATGAATTGTTGCCTCACCTTGTCAAGCCTAGTGTCGATTTGGCAGTGTCTATTAATCTGGATGAAAGGTCTGTCCACATTTTTTCACGGACTTGTGAGGAATCTATTGTTTCAATGTTTGCATTGATTGCAAAGGCATCTGTCATTGTTTTTAATTTGCCCCATTTGATGCATGGTTCCAGTTTTATCTTGTTTTGAGTGGATTTATTTGAGATGTGTAAATCCATGACTAGTAGCTTGTGTTGAGCGGCTATATCTTCTCCTGGGATGACTTTGCAGTCTATTACATCTTTTAATCTTCTGCGAGAGATTAACATGTAATCTATCTGTGTTTTCCTTGTACCACTTTCGTCTTTTTTCCTATAGTAGGTGTTGGTTAAGGCAAGGTCGAAGGCTTGCACAAATTTTAGTACGTGCTCTCCTTCATCATTTCTTTCTCCATATCCAAAACCACCATGATGCCTTTTGTAGCTATCTCTTGCATTCCCCACATGCGCATTTAAGTCACCACCAATTTTGATTAGGTAATTCTTAGGGATTTCCATTACAGCTTCATCAAGGATAGCTCTAAAGTCATCTTTCTCTTCTTCCTTGCAACCCGTTTGAGGAGCATATACTGAAAGGATGTGTAGTATTGATTGACCAATTCAGAGTTTTATCTTCATTAGTCTATCCGAGATCCTGTTGACTCCTACTACTGAGGAGGTTAGATCTTGACTGAGGATGATGCCGACACCGTTCCTATTGCTAACAATTCCATTATAGTACAATTTATACCCATCTCCAATCATTAAAGTCTTCTGACCTTTCCATTTCGTCTCTTATTCACGCTATATCAACTTTTCTTTTGTTCAACATTGATGCCAATTCTCTCGTCTTACCTTTAAGCGTCCCAATATTCAAACTTACTAATCTGTCTTCTTTGCTTTGACCTTTACTTTACTTTTCACAGGATGGAGGTCTACACCCTGCGCGTCGCTTGGAGGGAACGCCCTAGCTTTCATATTCATATCATTTGTTTCCTTCTTTTTATTTTGTTTATTGGACAGGTATCCTTAGCACCCGGTTGTTCAGGCCTGTCGTTGACCGGGGTGTCATCTCTAAGCTCCGAAATTCATCTTATCATATGTCTTTACACATCAGTTATCGAAGAAAAACTTGAAAGTTTTTATGCTCCTTACCAGGATTGAACCTGCGTCCTTCTTCGTCCTTCTGTTTCCAAGCATACATTTAACCCATTAGGCCACCCCGGCGATCTTTATCAGAAATCAGAATTTAATATGGATTTTTATTTATACCTTAATATGTTTTTTTTGGGAGTTACTGGACATTTAAGTTGAAATATTTGAATTAGGGCACATCTACACTTACAAAGGGTAGCCTTAGTAGCCTTAGTACCCTTAATTTTCTTTATTTGATTATCTTCGCAAACGTCTCTATATTCCAAAATTTTTACATACATTCCGTTCTTCATCTTTCTTCACAAACAACAATTCATGACTAAAATTTAGGGTAATTTCAAAATATTCTTTAAAAATATATTTAATTATTCCCAATCGATCACTCATCTAATTATGCTAAATCAGGTGGTTTGAATTAGTTCCACCTTTCTAGCTTTATCACCTATCTTATTATTCAGATTAATAAACTCTAAACTCAGGTTATAAACTCCCCCCCCCCAACCACAACTATTTATTGGATAACGTAAACCCCCCCCCCTAGACACTCATTTCCCATCAATAATCACATACCAAAACCTTTCCACCCCCTTACTACTCAACTTTCAATGAAACATATCAGTCAATCCACCTTAAAACTATTTAACTATCCAATAAAAAGACAGATTTGATGGCCACGAGTGATTAGAAGTATTCTAATCTTAACCTTAGTAATTTCTTATCATATAAACAAGTGAGAGCCGTCATGCCACTTAGGGTGTGATATCTTCAACCCTCACACTTGTGTCAAGGGTAATACTCCATTATTCTAAAGGCAGACACAGCCTGAATTGTTTATATAGTCAAGGGAGACATCAACGTCACACTTCAATAAATCATGTTATCAATATATGTTTAACAGCCACTCACATCCATCTCGCGCAGACGGATTAGGATGCGATGGAATCAGTGGCGTCGCTAGGGGGCGCAGGGGCTCGAGCCCCCTGAAAAGTTTGAATAGCCCCCTGAAGCAAAAATTTTTTTTTAGTGGCTCCTTAATATCCCCTTGAGCTAAAAATAAATGTTTTTAATTGCCCTCTAAATAATTTCTTTTATAATTCTATTAAGTAATATATAGATTTAATTTTATTAAAAAATTAATAAGACTATCTTAATTTTTATTAAATGAACACTATTTTAATTATTAGATTAGATTATTACATATAAATTATACTATGTCAGCTTGCAATCAAATTCTATGTTAAAAATATAACAATATCACTCACTAACTATTAATTTAGCATTAACAGTTGAAACTTAATTGACTTTTATTATTTAAATTATTATATAACCCTAATTAAATAAATATAATCATTTATTAATTAAAAATTAATAATTTAATATTTTAGCCGAGCTCAAAATCACTAATCAACTATATTATTGATTTTTAAATTTAATTATCATTCTTCCTAAAATTATTTTCAAGGTCCAAATCCAAATAAGTATAAGAGATTTATTTATAAAAAGTAAGTAGACATATAGTTTATAATCCTCTATTATATATATTTTTTTATAAAATATTAGGTAAAATGCCACTTTTACAGACGTATTTGACAGTTATATAATATATTACAGTTAATATTTTAATAAATTTTACTAATAAATGCTTTTCATTGCTTACAAATATTTAACACCATCTATATATTTACAATATAATTAAAATTAAGCGTATTATTATTCATCCCACAATGGATGTAATAAATTAGATATCTTTTCTTCTCTTTTTTACGTGTTTTTAGGAAGCTATTTTTTTCTTCTTCGGAATATAGATTTGAGTTTTTTAATACGAATATATTTTTAATATTATTACAAACTACTATTATTTTAAGATATAATATACCAACTAGAGATGGTGCGACAATAATATATAAAATCTTAATTGCTTTCATGATATCACTCTGGTTCTTATTTTGTAGTTACAAAATATTTCATTTCTAATATGGCATTTTTGCCTTGTAAATAACTCAAGGCTTCAATATATTTGCATAATTTCTTCTAAAGGTTTTTAGTGTTTTTGTTTTATCAATTTATCTAACAGAATAAATTCTGATATGGGATACCATCGTGAGTGTCATGGCTAGGACTGCAAATTAACCAGCATCTTTTATTTATGTGGCTATGTAATTTAAGATTATTACTACAGCTGCTGATGATCGCATATTTTAGATAAGCAATAATGGTCAACTGTGTAGTCGTTTATATATCATTAAAAATGGAAGATAATCTTTTAGAAATTTAATATCATACAATAATTTTCTCGATTACTTATCTATCTTCCATCATGTCATCTAAGAGGAAGCTCTAACCACCATATAGTTTTATGATTTTTATATTCTCTTCTTCAAGAATTGTTGATTTGGTAAGGTCTATAAATTTTTTCTTATTATCCCATTCTATAAAACATTGTCTAAAATGGTAATAGAGAGTTATATTAGTTTCATGACCTTTTGTCAATGTTAGTTGCTAATATTATATTATATTATGTAGTTTTCAAAAACCATTATCAATTGAGGCATATATATGAATTAATTAACCTTTTTTATCATTTATAATTCTTTAGACGCAAAATTTTTTTATATCAACAATCGAGAATATTTTATACTGAATAGATTTTGTATTAAAAAATATTATTTTTAGAAATGTCTTGTATTATTTTAATGATTTATTTGCTAGTTTATTTTGCATGCAAAATATAATAAATGATATTCAGAATAATTATTTAGAGTTAGTAAATTTAAAAAAAGTATAATATTAATATAAAACCCGGCCAACATAAAAATTTTTAGTTGAGCCCCCTGAGATTGTAAAGGCTAGCGACCCCCCCTCCCTGGATGGAGACCCTAATTCCTTGGTCCTCGGTTTTTATATCTCATCATTTTCTTCTAACACAAATTTATTAACCCAAGCCAAATCAAAAAAAATTTAAAAAATTTCTCAACAATTTTATATTTAATCCAATAGCCATTTCCACAATCAGCCACTTTTCCCCTAAAACTGAAAAATTTATAAAGCCCTAATCCCCAAAATCAGTAATTTTACCGACGAAGCTGGGAAATTTCTTTTTATTCGACAAAATAATTAAATTAAATATTTCGACATAACTACGATATTTTTAGTTAATTATATTATAATATGTATTCTTTTAAACATATTTTTATCTTAATTTTATATAGCTTTTTAAATAATTTTATATAAATAAGAGATTGATTATAAATATAAAAAAATAATAATATGGAAAAAATCAACAACAAAAATGCAAATAAAATAAAAATTAAGAGCTTCTTCGGTAGTTCAGAATTAAAAACTCGGGTTAAATTATTCCATATTTTTTAAGAAAAAATTTAGAGTAACGTTTTGCGTTAACATTAATTAGTGATAAAAAACGCATCTCGTTACTTTTAAAAGTAACGAATGGCGTTTTTTTCCTCAAAAAAAGATAACGCCGTTAATAACAACGTTATCGACGTTATTTTAGTTTAAAATCAATGTACCATAAATTAGTGTTGTTAAACGGCTCGTTTGGAGCCGATTTTTAAAAACGGCTAATTCAATATATTGTCCAGAAAAATATTACGCAAGCTTGAAGATTTTGCTCATAGAAGGAACAAAGGTTTAGACATATATTATCAAAATCTCAAGGCTTAAGCAATATTTTTCTGGCTAAAATATTGAGTTAGTTGTTCTAAAAAATCGGCTCAAAACGAGCCGTTTAACAACACTACCATAAAATGGTACGTTAACCATTAATGAGTTAATAATAGTATGAAGTGCACAAATGTCTTCTAACATCGTAAGCGATGAATCCATCTAAGGATCCTCACTTTTTGGCGACAAAGGCATATAATTGTCTTTATCCAATTTCAAGCATTTCTATCCTTATTCCTTACCCTTGAAACTAAGCTTCCAAAAAATCGAATCCGAATGGTAAGATATTCGTAGATTCGAACTTTACCAATAATTCTCAAATACTTTTATGTTTATACACTAAATTTTGTGTTTCTTTCGTGAAATACAATTTAACTTTAATTATAATCTTTATCATATTTCATTTATACAATAAATAAATTATTACAAATTTAATTTCAACGCAATTTCCCTTGATGTAAATTAGTACTTATAATGTAATTTTTAAAAAAGTGCGTTAACGTAGCCCTCTTTTACGCTAACCCCGACCCTACCGAATTCGTGTCCATGATACCCACTTCGGCCCACACAGGTGAAGGCATGGGCAACTTGATTTATTCGCTTACGCAATTGGCTCATGGGCAGATAGTAGAACATTTGCGGTTCTCCCCCGATCTTTTGGAGTGTTCGGTCCTAGAGGTTATTTATTGTGCATATATTTTTTTAAAAGGATTACTAACTTTTGAATGTTTTTTTTAAAATGTATGTATCAAAATACATCAGTAATAGTCGTTGATTAGGGCTTGGTAAACATAAAAAAATTGGAATTAAAAAAAATTTATTTAGTTTTTGGTTTAACCATTTCCTTTTTGACAGAGTTCTAATCCATGCCATAAAAATTCTAAGTAAATTGATGTTTTTACTTCTAGTCTAGGCAGTCATATTAATCAAGTAATTTTAATTAGTCGAACAACCCCCCCCCTCCTCCCAAGTCAGATTTTGACTTATTTTCAAACTCATTTTTAATATATCTCACCATTCTCATGAGAAAGCTACAAGATAACAATTTTTCTTAAATATTCCAAAAAACGGCAAAAAGATCTCTTGCCATATATCTTTATTTTTCAATATACTTATTAACTGCGCTCCCTAACAAGTCTAACATTGAATTTTTAATATATAAAAATATATAAAAAAAATACGATAACTTTTCAATTCAATCCAATCACAATACCCCCCCCCCCTCCAATCAATCATTCTAATTATAGATTTATTTAAATCTTTCTCTAAAAAATTTTAAATTTTCGTGACTTATAATTTAAATAATATACCATATTAGGGATTCGCAAAAAACGAAATTAAAAATTATGTTAATTTTTTGGAACATAATATATATTTTTGGTTACATACGGTAAAGGTTAAAGAATTACTCGGTATGGGTACAACCCTAGACGTTATATTAGTTAACGGCTGTTTAAAAGAAGGCGACAATTTGGTGTTGGCCGGCTTTGATGGAGCAATTTGCACCCAGGTTAGGGGACTCCTGATGCCACAACCTCTAAAAGATTTGAGGGTCAAAGTAACGATGTTTCATTGTTTTCATTTTTTCTATTTATTAAGATATAACTGTCCAACAAAAAAAAATTCTGGGCTTAAATTTTTAGATATTATTTGATTGCTGAATTTAAAAATAAATATGTATTAATATTAGAGACCTTTAAAATAGCAATTATTTAACTCAAGCCCACCCGCAGCCCCAGATTTTTTTAGATTTAGGCCTTGCCCGCTGCGTCCAGTGGCATCTGAATTTTTAAGAAAGCTTTTAGGGAAGAAATCTCAAACTTAAAATATTAATTTTATTCATCTATTTTAATGTTATAGCATCAAATTTAAATATTCTGCAATAATTTCTGATTCTTATCTATTTTACTTCTATTTATTACAAATTATGATATGAAAATTAATAATATTTCCCATCGCCTGATTTCTTTTCTTAATTTTTAAAATTTATTTTATGATATTAGGTCAAACAAATAAAATAAATTTAGCCTTAATATATTTTTCGGGCCACGGACCAGTCCTATATTTTATTCAAAATGGGATTATGGATTTTAGGAAATAGTTGAATAGTTTACCTACCAATTTTAATTTTAATATTTTTAATAGCTTTTTATAGGCATACACATGTGCCTTTCTTCAAATTGACACATGATCATCATTATTTTCCTATGGGCGACATGGGATCTGGGCTTGGTCTGATGCGAGATGGTTAAAGTTATTATAGAGGTCGGCCCGACCCTAATACTTACCCAAGTGGCAAAATTATTTAGGCCAGACTGGACAACCTGCACAAAATATTTGACATGTTGGGTCGGTCAGGAATTATTTTACGGGTTAGGCAAAAAAAATTTTGAGTCGGGCTGCACAGACCTTTATGGCCGTCTTTACATATCAAAAACAATGTTTGTCACTTGTTTTAATGATTAGTTTTGTATAATTTTTTTTTAAATTCTTTAAATTACAAAAAGAATCAATATGAGAAGTATAAAGTCGTGAACGCGGCGATGGGGGTTAAAGTTATAGGTAAGGATCTGGAAAATGCTCTGCCCGGATTTCCTATCTTCTTAGCTCACAATCATGACGAAATCGAATTTCTTAAAGTAAAAAATTGATTCTTTTTCTTGCATAAAATGATTAAATTTTTGGGTTTAGTCTGTTAAATGTATATTCTTAGAATATAGATCAGCGCGGCCCTAAACCTCTCGCCCACATGACGGGCAAATTAATTCTCGGGCCAAGCCAGATAACTTGTTATTTTTACGAACCGGTCCAAAAATTATTATACGGGCTGGTCTGAAAAACTTCTTATCTAGAGCCCCATACATTCAGTTTTTCGTAAATTATTAAATCCAAGATAGTCATTTTTTATATTACCTATCATATTTATCGGTAAAGTTTTTTTAAACAATATTTATAAGGGGGCATTATATTACAAGATTGACTTCTTTACTAAAAAAATTACGTTTAAGTCAGGGCTCTCTAAACCTTCCTGAGCTAATGAACTAGACCCCCCTTGGTTACCTCCTGCGTTTCAATGAAGCGGAAAATTGTATATAATTTTTTCCTCACAATTAGATAGCATAATATAAATCGTTTCAATTTCATAAAAATTATAACATAATTAAGTATCGTTGATTTTATCAAATACAATATTTTTTTAAAATAGTAAATTGCCGAAAATAACGCAAACAAAAATGCTATATCCTCGTTGACTAGAATTTAGATTAAGCGTTATAACAACCCCATTTTTTAAATTTGTTTTTCCTATCCGAAATTATGATGCCCGAAATAATTTTGTTGAATGGAAGTTTTATAAATAGTGGTTTGCAATTAATTTGAATATTATTTATTTACTAGCTGATAACCCGTCAAGAATGACGGGGAATCAGAATTTTCTCCTTATGGATTAATAATAAATTTTACTTTCATTTGACGATGGATGAATCAGAATAATCAAATGAGAGGAATAGATTATTCGTATTCATTCTTTCAAGATTTTTATAAATTTTTAGAAAAAAGGTCAAATATATTATGGAAGATATGGAACAAAAAAAATATGATTTGTGAATTATGATATTTATCAATTCTTTTAAGAATTTTCCACATTCAGACTCAATGGTTTTTGCCCTCTCACTTTATATAATCATAGATTCGAATCAATTATGGGGGCAAACCTGAATCTCACAAACACTGCATGGTGGTATCCACCCCATTGCAATGGGCTATTTAGTAGATTATTAACAAAAATAATTTCCACGGGTCAAAACCTAGGGTCTTAACTTATTAAGTCTACGTATCATTTAGGATTTGGTGTTAAAGGAGAAGGTAAAATAGCTTTACATGCCATTTGTATTATATCCAGAATTTTCCTCCTAACATGGCTATTATCAAAGTAGACTTTAAAAATGCTTTCAATAACAAATTTCGTGAACATTTCATAAATTTTTTTATCCCAAATCTCCTGTTTATTCAAAATTCCGAGAGACATACTGTAACATCAAAGCTCCTTTATTTAGCCCACATGTCATATATTCTGACGAAAGGATCCAACCTTGGTATTCATAATCAAAATAAGGTAACTTTCTGATTCACACCTCATATAGGCTTATTTTTGATTTATCCAAAATCAAATTAAGGAGAATACTAATTCCTTGTCATTCTTGTGGGACATCAGCTAGGAAGCATATATATGCAAATATCATTAGATTGTAGGAATGGATCCTTCCTTAAGGGTTTTTTTATTAACAATGGAAGCCACAAAGCACACCTTGGTAAATTATTATCCACAGAGTTTTGAATAAGTTTGCATCTTTTCATAATATGGATCCATTCTTCAAGATGACCTTTATTATAAGAAAATATATTTTGATATAGGTACAGGGGTTAGGCCATATTTTAATTTTTTGCCTAAAAATTTTAAAGATATCCAGGTCGGGTTGTATATTTTACATAGCCATTATTATCTATAAAAATTTAAATAAATTTAATATATTTTAAAAAAATACAGACCAGGCCATCCAAAATTTTTTTTAAAACAAAATCCAGGGCAGGCTGTACAAATGGTACCTACATGTCTGATATATATTTATTACCTTTAATATGAAAAAAATAATACTAAGCTGGATTAGGAAATAAAATGTCTTTGCTAGGATTCGAACCTAAGTCCATCAGATGTGTAATCGAGGTTATTGCCGATTAGACCATAGACGCTTTTCAAAATTAACGATTTTTTAAATATATATTATAAATTGTGACACTGTGACTGTCACAAGGCTTTTATATATATTATAGATAGATAGTGGCGTATCCAGGATTTTCTTATGGGGGAGGGAAATTTTTTGGTCTTATGTTTTAGCTATTCTATTAAATTATTCATAATTTAATAATAATTATATATCTATTTTTAACTTTTATTTACTAATTTGTGCATATCGATATTACAAGCCTATTTTTTATTATTTTAAGTTAGGTATGCTATATTTAATAAAGTTTTTTTAAATGTAAAGTTGAAATAAAGTTTAATGTCATTTTATTTTAAAATTTGCTTTAAAAACTAGCCTCAGCTTAAATTCTCATACAATATAAGTAGAAAAATTTTTTTTTTATTGTGCACAGTGTATAAAATATTGACTAGAAAATAATTTAAAAAGCAAGTTTTTATAACTTTTATCAAATACAATATTATCAAAAAGTTTATTAAACACTATAACTATAATGTAATTTTTAATTTTCGTGTGGATGTTGCCAATTCATCTAGAATTTCGTTCGTCGTTGGAATTAAATGAATATTTAACATAGCTAATCCATTTACCCGAGATTCTGAAGTAGTACTTCGTAAAAATGTCTTCAGCCTTCTCAAGTTTGAAAATGTCCTTTCATTCGTGGGCAAACATGCAAGAATATAAAATAACTTCAGAATATCGGGAAATTGAGCCAACATGCTCAGGCATATTTAAATTTTGTATATCTTCTGTTCTAAAGAAAAATGAAAAATATAAAATTAGATATTTATTAATAATTAAAATATTATCAAAAATAAATTTTAACTCACTAACTAATAATTTTGAATTTCATAAAATAAATATATTTAATAATAAATTATATACCGTTTGATTTCAATATCTTTGTCTTTGACTAAAAATTTCTCCTTTTTTTACTAATATTTTTGAATAATGTTAATGTACTCACAAGGAAAGGAAATTTTAAAAAAAATTTATTTATAAAAAATAAGTTTTATGTTGGAAAATTGATATTCAAATATTTGTAAAATTTTGATTGGGTGGGGGGGGGGGAGGGGAGAGTAAAATTTTTATTAGCTTAATATGTTTATGAAAACAGTCAAATTTGCGATGGGGGGGAGGGGAATTCCCCCACCCATTGGTTACGCGCCTGGATAGATAGATAGAACCTTAAAATAAATTATATGTAAAATTGTATAGTGTAATATTAATATAAAATTGTGTAAGAATATCTATAATATATCAGTTAGTTCTAGTATTTATATGATGATGTAAGATGGTAATGGAAGATGAATGAATGTTTGATATGATAAGATTCTATGGTGATTTTTATTGGACGAATATTTTTTAAAAGAATATTAAAAATTTAAAAATATAAGAATACCTATTTAATAGTTTGAATTTTAAAGTAGCTACAAACTTTGAATCGTATCTTCTATTTGATTAATTTGCTAGATTAAGAAAAAAAAAATTTATTTTCGCAGATTAATAAAAAAAATCTTTGCTGGGATTCGAACCTAAGTCGATCATATTTGTAAGCGACGCTCTTGCCGATTGGGCCACAGACACTTACTTTTCAAATTTAACGATTTTTTAAATATATTTTTTAGAAATTTATTTTGCCCCTGTCGGCTAAATAGCCTAAAAAGTTTTAAAAAAATGAAAAATAACAATGTCACTAAAATAGGGTTGCCTAGTTTAAAAGCTGTTTAGCTATATGTTACTTTTTTCTGAATATATCTAAGAATTTTGATGGGGGATAGGGAGGGAGTTTCCTTTCTATTTAATGGGTTAATTAAGATATTAATGGATTTTGAGCTTATTCTTTAAAATTAAAGAATAATTTATTTTAAAAAATCTACATCTTATAGCAAGACATGAATGCTTTGATAGAAGATACCCTTCAATCAATAAAACTTTCTGAAATCGGGGTTTACGTGCAGGCTTCAACTATCGGGTCTCTGGAAGCCTTGTTAGAATTTTTAAAAATCTCCAAAATTCCGGTTTTTTTTAAAAAAAAAATAATTCAAAATTAATTTTAATAAGCCAAATTGAATCGAATTCAATATTTATGAGACGTATAAGAAATAAAGCCTTGTTAGAATTTTTAAAAATCTCCAAAATTCCGGTTTTTTAAAAAAAAATAATAATTCAAAATTAATTTTAATAAGCCAAATTGAATCGAATTCAATATTTATGAGACGTATAAGAAATAATTAGATTAATTCGGAAAAAAATAAAGGAATTAGTATATTTGATTTTCATAAATCATCATAAAATCTTGATAAATACTTTTTAACTTTAAAAAATATTATAAATAAATTTAATTATTTTATTCAAACTAGTAAACAAAAAAAGTAATTTTTAATTCACTTGTATATATTACCAAATTAACGATTCGATATAGCAGAATATAAATTTTAAAAAAAGAATTGTTATTTTACAATCTCACTAACTTAGGAAAAATTATATTTTAATTGTCCGAAACTTAATGATACTAATAAAATTTTAACAATAATATTTATCAAATTTTTTAAATATATTCTTTGGACATAGGAATTATAACATAGTTTATAACCTTTAAGGGGATTGTTAACAGCATATAGTATAAGATAATCCGAAATAATTAGATTTATATATTTTTTCAATCATTTCTTTCTTTTTTGATCGTTTTTAAAGTACGCGGGTATCAACATCGGTCCGGTTCACAAGAAAGACGTAATGAGAGCTGCCGCTATGTTGGACCACAACGTTCAGTTACATAAACCAACCTTATATCACTTTAATTATTTCTCATTTTTGAACAGGGAAAAAAAAGTTTTTTGTATAAAGGATTTATTTTTTGGTTTATCGTACAAGTCTCCAGATAATTGCTATGAGAAGTTTGTTTATATCAAATTGAGATGCTTCACGGAAATGTATTCCAGCTTATGTAGAGCACCTACGTTATGAATTTATCATTTTTGCCACGAACTTTTGTGTATTTTTTGCTTTAATTTATATGAAAAATCGGTTATAAAAGTTATTATACATTAGTAGTTATAAGGTTCTTGGCAAAATTGTACATTTAAAGACTTACTCTCTTTACGTGCTACGAGTGCATTTCCCCTCTAATCAGATTTTTCAAAAAATTACGTTCTCAATAAATGTTTTAAAATTGAAAGACCTTGAATCCAACCATTTCATATCCCAATAGGATACATACATATATAGAAAATTTAAAAATGTCTTAATCAATTATTCAGATACGCCGCCATCTTAGCGTTCGACATAAAGATTGATAAAGACGCGCAGGAGATGGCTGATTCATTACGGATCAAAATTTTCTCGGCCGATATTATTTATCACCTTTTCGACGAATTTACACGATTTCAAGTAAATGTCACTATACTTATATAATAACATTTTTGCTTAAAAAAATTCGTTAAAATGGAATGTTATCAGCTCAACGTTCAACATTTTAAACGCTCAAAGAAGATGAATTTTTGAACTTAATGGAAGATTTGCAATTACCGGACCGAAAGCCATTTGTAAAGTGTTGGCCCAGTATTTGGTCCCGGTACTGAATTATTGCCCTTAACTGATGGTTCATATTATATTGATGATGGTCATCAGGAGAAATTTTTTTATTAAAATAAACGTGGTAAATTAATAAAATTTAAAGATTTAAACAAAAACTTTAACTGCGATTACTATTAAATTTTAACGCCTCTATCTTTTCGATAATAAAAAAAATTTAGGCAGTGATATATTTTTAAAAAAAATCTTATACTAATAAATGATATTTTTGTATAAATATCAGAGTTGTTAAAAGATACTTTTTAAGTGGATCTGTATACAGATACATTTTTTATTATGCTCTTATAGGTTTGCATAAATCTAAATTAATATTATATTGTGAAAATTCATGAAATGAGCTAAAAAATTTATTGACGCGATATAACATTTATCAGAATATAACTAAAATAATGATTTTAATATAATATATGAAAATATATGATTAAATAATTATTAGATTTCAGTAATAAAATATTTTCAAAATTTTGATCATTTAGGCATCCTCGTTTATCTGTAAAGACATTTTTAGCAACACTAAATAGTCTTTCCACAGGGGCGCTTGAAGGAATTGTAGTGTTATATTTAATAAATAACAATTTTATATCAGGGGTATTCTTTAAAAATACTAAAATCTCTACATTCATTTTTGAAAAAATTATTTAAAATTTGTTGATTATCAAAATTTAAATCATTATTAGAAATTATATCTGCTGTAGGGTACTGAAAAAAATCTGAAATTAAATTATTTGTATTTTTTTGACAGGTTATTTGCTTGCAGTCAGTTAATGACTTTGATAATTCACCAGCTAATCTTTGTATCAATTGTTTTCTTTTATTAAGATTTTCTTCCATTTGCAACCATGCCTCAAGTTTAAAAAAAGGGTGGAGCATGGTTGCTATAATATTATCATCTTCAAATAAGGTCACAATAAACTTAGAATTATTAAATATTTTTAATTTATTATATTAATTTACCTATCCTCAAGCCCTTTAAGTAAGGCATCTAAGAGTGGTAAACAGAATCTCAGGTTCATTTCTTTAAAATTCTTTAATTTGATAATAAGTTGTGAAATAGTTGCACAGTAATAAGCTGTGTACATATACTTATCTCCCTGCAAAATATCAAGGGAATTACCTATTGGCTTTATTAGCTAATTTAAAATAATGCTATATATATAAATATTATTTATAACTTACTAAACAATATTCATGAATAAAATCACATTCATTAGGTAAAAACCTAGGTAGTTTTATTCCATTACATATCTTGTCCACTTTGTCAGATTTAGCTTTTATAATTTCTGACATTAATTGTAAGGCATTATAGGTGGAGTTCCATCTAGTTATATTAGGACATATAAAATAACGACCAATATATTCCTTAATAATCTCAGATGAAATAGGATACTTATTTTGCCTATTCCATATATTTTGGCATTTATGTAGTGTTGTGCTATATATCTAATGAAGAAAATATTACTTATTTAATTAAAATAAGTTTTACCCTCTGATATTGTTTACACTGCATGGCTCTATTGGCATCCACAGTGGCTATAAGATTCAATGTGTGACTGGCACAACATTGGTGATGAGGTAAACTAAATGATTCTGATAATTCAGAATCCTGTGCAGTATTATAAAGATTTGATATAGAAATTGGCACAACTGCTTCATCTTCCAGATCATCAATTGATTCACTTGTATTATTTTCAATTGGCTTGAAAACTCTTTAATAAATTAAGTAATCAATCATATATTATGTTATATATATTTATTTATAATAAAATAAACCTAAAACATTTTATAAAATTTTTGGCATTATCTGTAATGGTCTTTGAAATTTTATTTTGAATGCAATAATCCTTAGCTATATCTTGTAAATTTTTTGCTATTTTATCATATGTATGATTACCAGTCATTCTTTTACAAGCCAACGCTATATTTTTTCTTTCCAAACTTATTGGATTGTGAGCGGTTACTCCTATGTATGAACTAAAAATTAAAATTTCTTAAAATTGCTGAAATAATTTATTCTTAATTAATTATTATACAAATTTAAATGTTAGCTCTACCGGCGATAGGCACTCCAACAATCTGCTGTTGTGCATATTAATGATGGTTCTATAAGACTTTTAATTATTTCTTTCTTTTCATTTTCCCATCTTTGGGAAATTCTACAAAAACTGTCTGTCGGCAAATTATATTTTTGTGTGGAGCCAAAGTGTTGATCATTTTTTTAAAAGAAGGATTTTCAACAATTGAAAATGGCTGCATGCCATCTATAATAAAAGCAATAATTAAATCATCTAAAGTGCCTTGAGTTAAAAGGTCTTTTAGCAAAAATATTATTGGAGGATGAGCCTTGTCCAATATTTTCTTTGGTAGTTTTATTTTCCTTCCCCTATTTTTGTTAACAAGGTTGGATGTTTTCTCTTAAAATTTAAATTAGAATTTTAAATATATAATATCTATACCCTTATGTGCTTCACGATTTTGCACGTTGAAGTCATACTGACCGATATTTTTGTATTTTTACGTAAACACGGCAAACATTTTACCATCAGAGAATTGTTTTCTTTGTTTTGAGATATTATTTTAAAATATGCTCTATAAATTGGCCATGGTAACGCAATAGAACTTGTTGTTGCTTCCTCTTCTTCATCGATATAGATCTAAATAAATATATAAACTTAAAAATTTAGTTATAAGATAAAATTTACCATTTCCATATTGTAATATTAAAATTTGTATGGTTTATTGATAAACTCGGACATAATATTTAAATTAATGAATATTTATTTATATTTTTTATATATAAGTTTTATTATTTTATGTATATATAATTCTTTATTATAGTATTAATAAATATTAATATATAATATATATATATTTATTTATTTCATAAGCTTATATGAAATAAAATAAATTTTACAGTCAAATATTTTTATTTATAGTAAAAAAAGGGGTATATAAAATGTATCTTAAAAAGTATCTAAAAACCGATACAGATACCTCTAAAAAATATCTAGATACAGATACCTTTCTAAAAAATTTATCTAGATACAGATACTAAATTTTTATATCTAGATACTTTAACAACTCTGATAAATATAATTTTATTTTTTTCCTAAAAAAAAATATAAGAAAAATATCTTTTATTGGAAATTTCTGGTAAATTATTTTATCCTTCGCATCATGTTTTTTTTGTGTTAATATAAATTTTACCTTTTTAAAAATTATGTCTATATATCTAAATACTGTTTTTTTTATTGGCTGTTGGGATTTCACCTTTATCAAATTGATTTCGGTTGAATATTGGATATACGATTATAAAATGGGAATCATACATATCCGATTTAAATAAATATTTTAGCATATTATTTTTATCGGATAAAACGGATTATTAGTATTTTTTAAACATCGGTTTATCGACCCATGTTATTAAATTTCCAATCCGATATAATGGCTTTTATGTGAAATAAAATATATCAATATGTATAAAATTCTATTTACACGAAAGTACACATAATATATGCGTTAAATATAAAAAGTGTGTAATCGAATTTTGTATAAAAACTGAATAAATACCCCTGAAATGATGGGTTAATTAAAATTTGATAATAGTATATTTTAAATTACTTATATTATGGGATTCATCATAGAATAAGTCCATTAAAAATTATATTATTAACGATGAAAATCAAATTAATTATAAAAATCGAAAATTGACAGATGCCAATTTGATATTATCGGAACTGTCTCCAAAAAGTGGTAACATTGGTGCACATCTTAACTTAAAATTTCATTCAATATTATATATTATAATGATCATAAATTAAGTTATATTTTATCCGCTTTTTGATATATATAGAATGGGCCGATATTCTTAAAAATATGAATAATTAGACTGATTCCATATCGTGGCTTGTTACCATTCCAAGAATATAAAATATTTTTCCAAATTACAAAAAAACACAAAATATTTATTTACATCTTTCAATCTCAATCTATTAAAATAAATATTTAAATAATTCTAAAATCTAAAGGAAGAATATAGGCGATCGCAAAAGGATAAGCACAAGGACTCGGTCGTCTTTCCGTGCAAGCTCGTCATACTTCCTCAATTCATATTTAAAACTCGTGACCCAATCATAGTGGGCGTCAACGTGGTCGCCGGTGAGCTCAGAATCGGAACTCCCTTGTGCGTTCCTTCTAAAGAGGTTTTAAAAAATGAATCAATGGTATCGTGTTATAAAGAGGCTTAGGAGGTCCCCAAAATTTATAGGGAACGGAAACCATTTAAAAATTTTCAGCAACCGGTTAACATCAAAAGTGCAAGTGACATATTGTTTAAAATGACAGTGCGATTCATAGAGTGGTTTGCTGATTTTTTAAAATTTTTTTGATTATTGGAGAACCGCGTAAAATTTACCAGCGGAAGTAGAACGCATTTTCAAAATTTTAGGAAACCGAACCGAAAACTAGAACCCTTTTTAGTCTCGGTCCAAATTATAATTTTTATTTTTTTCAGGCCTTGTACATAGGTAATGTGTCGAGCATAGAATTCAATCACAAAAACATGGACGCCGCAAAAAAAGGGCAGGAAGTGTGCATCAAAATCGATAATCCTTCCGGCGAAACTCCCAAATTGTACGGACGCCATTTCGACCACGAGGACGCATTGATATCCAGGGCACGTGATTATAAATAACAACTTTTTATGATTTTAAATTTCCATTCCCACCACCTTGCGAGGCTTCTTGGGGAAAATCTCAATAAAGATCAATAAGACCAACACGAAAAAATATCATTGAATTTAAGAATAGAAAAATTATGTTTATAGAAAAATGTTTAAAAAATTAGATAATAAGAGAAGATAAAATTAAAATTGAATAAGAACCTAGATAAAATACAACATTGTGACACTATCAGGGAAGAGAGGAGGTGCTCAATTAAGAAAAATCCAGTTGATTCCCTAAAAAGGAGTAATTTCCTAATTTTAAGGTAAAAAAATACAAATCGAAATTTTCCGACCCAAGGAAAAATTAATGTAAAATTCTTTTGACCAATCTGAGTTAATTGATCTCGAGCAGGTGTCTGTCTGCAGGACTCTTATGAGTATTTAACCCTTTAATTTTTTATTCATTAATTTTTTTAGATAAATCGCAACTCAATCGATACGCTCAAAGAATATTATAGAGACGAAATGCAAAAAAGTGATTGGCAGTTAGTCGTAGAATTGAAAAAACTTTTACAAATTATATGAAAGACAGAAAGAACACATTCACAACAACAACAACAAAAAATAAACAAATTCTAATTTTAAAAAAAAATTATATTGTTACAAAAATATCATTATAAAACTGTTGAGTTATATTGTTTTAAATTTTTATTACCTTTCAAAAACAAATGATAAATAAAAAAAATGGGAAAAATTCTAATCAAATCATAAAACAACATTTCTCGTTTGATGGAGTGTTATCTTCTTTTTTTAAATTACAATAATGAGAAAATTGACTTGGACAATTTCAAAAAAAAATATTATCAAAAATTCAAATAGCTAAAAATACGTCAATCAATACAATATGCAAACCGATATTACCTTTTAATATAATTATACATTTAATATTTATTGAAAAAAAATCAAATATTCATTGGCGTGCACAGCGAGGGGGGGGGCAAATCCCTCCCAAAGCCAAAAAATGCAGATGCCGGATTATATTTTTCAAAAATATTATTGTTAATATTAATTTATATTTTTTAATATTTATTCCTATCTCATATATATATATTTAATTACATTTATTTATCACATTCATCTACTAAGTTATTTTATCAATTAATTTCGATTTCAAGTTTTCCTATTTACCTATTATTTTCAAATTTTAGTGGCGTAATATTTATCTAAATTTCTAGTCAATTAATAATTATCTCTGAAACTCCTTGTCCAACAGGGAGAAAGAAATTGCAAGCTTGTCCAACGAGATCGAGTCTCCACCATCAAGCAGTAACAGCTATTATGGAGTTAGAAGAGCCGATTATTAATGCTATTACTGAAATATCACAATGGCTTGAAAGAAATATTTCCTCAGAAGCAAGAAAATTATTGGATTCAATACTTATTCCAAATTTTTTTCTCATTAGAATGTATTATTTAATTATACAACTATTTTATGTAATACTTTTCAAAAACATAACATTGACTTGATTAAGAAGATGGGAATAGCGGAGAGCATTTTATTAGAACTCAAGGAAATTAGAGCTAATGTTGATGAAGAATTTCATATTTTATATGTTATTGTTGAGTCAAAAGCAGAGCTATACGTGTTTAATATTTGTCCCCCTCGTCTTGCAGCAAGCAAGCTCATCGTCAAAACATTAATATAGGATCAGTAGAAGAGTATTATAAAACAAATGTCCCCTCTCTCAACCTTTTTCATATGGTGATAGAAAAAAAATATAAATATTTGTTAGATTTTTATCATGAAGATGTTAAAATATCTTATGATGCCTTATTAGCTGAATAACTATGATTAAAAGATTAACTATGGTTGATACAGTCCCAAAAAATGCTATGGATGCTTTGCATTATTTCAAACACATTTTAGATTATTCTCCCAATGTATTAAAATGGATATATATATATTAGCAGCTCTTTAGTAAACTAATAAGAGAACATTCTCTTTATTAAGAAGAATAACAGTCTTGCAGAGGTACCATTTGCAGGACACGGCCCATATTCTTTTAAAAAAAATTTTCCGGCCCGGGTTTTTTTAAAAAAATTTTCAGGCCCGGCCCGAATTTTTTTAAAATAAATTATATTTATTTTTGATTTTTATTGCTAATGGCGATTTCAAATATTTGGTTTTAAAATATACAGCTCGGCCCGGATATTTTTTCTAAAAAAATTTTCAGGCCCAGCCCGGGTGTTTTTTTTAAAAAAAATTACGGGCCCGGTCCGGGTATATTTAAAAAAATTAAAACACGGTCCGGCTCTGGGGCCAGGCCTGCAAGTCTGTGAAAAACATACCTATGAAATACAACATCTGAAAGTAGATTGAATGATTTGGATCTTTTGAATATTCAAACGCATTTAACGCCAAGCAAGGATAGATAATTGAAAAATTAGCTTAAAACATACAAAATACAATTATTCCTAAGAAACTTTTTGTGTATTAATTTATATTTCCAACATTTAAATTTTTTATACTTTATATAATTTAAAAGCTCAAAAAATTCAAATTTCAATTTTGGGTCATTTAAGTGATTTATATCGTGGGTTATATTCATAATTCACATTTATTTTATAGTTTTTCAATGCCGGTTTATATATATAATTTTTTTAATTCACATTAGTTTAAAATTGTGTATTAGAAAAGTTATTAGTCCTAATAAATTTATGCTTAGTATTTTTAATTAACAATAATATTTCTTAAAAAAATTTATTATCCCCCCCCCCAGACCAAATTCCTGCGTACGCGCCTGCAAATATTAATTTATGATTATTATTTATTAAAAGAAATATTGATTAAACGCCACCTTCTTTTTTTTCTATTGATTTAAGTAATTTTTTTATGAAATATGAATCTTTTTTTAAAGGATATAGGTTAAAATATAAAATATATGCCCATATAATCATTTGTAATAGTTAAAATGTAAAGGTAAAATCGCTGTTTACCAACAATAGAATATTTGATGCCCCTCTTCTGGAAACCCAGTTTTCTCAACCTTTAATATACTACCAAACAGTTTTTTACACTTGAAATCAAATAACAAATTATAACTAACCGAATTAAAAACAATCTCAGTGACTTACTAAAGTCCTGCCAATTAGGTTATGGGGAAAAGAATGAATGCGCCGCTGCATCCCATTCCACTAGTATTATACTCGAAAATTCATAAAATTGTTTTTTTATTTTAGAAATTTTTCTTATATATTCTTTATTCAAAAATAAAATCTACCTAAGAACTTAGATACGCTAGTTGGTGAGAATCAAATAAAAATCTGTCAAAGCTCAAATTAACTAAATAAAAAACGATTGCTCGACTTCGAATATATCGAAAGATTCTTAATAAAAAAATTTTAAAAATTCCATAACCGCATGGATAATGCAATTTTTAATCATGTTAGATAATCGAGCAGGTTTAAGAGTAAATAATTTGTCAAATTTATTTTCACAAATATTAATGGACCTTTGTTGGACAGGATTCCAGATCCATATATCAAAGTAAAAGAATTAATTGATAAAAAATAGTCGAAATTAGCATAATGCCAGAATCGCTCTCCCCCATGACTACGCCATCCACTAGAAACTAGTTACTTTTTCAAAAGTCACTTTTAGCAACAATAGATGATAACATAAAATAAATTCATATAATTTTTTCAATCGGTGTAAAAGAGCAAATGTAATAAAAGCCTAAATCAGCTATTTCGCTTATTATAGCCGTTTGGCCTAAAATAAATGCAAAAGCATAAATTCAATAGCAAAAAATGCAGATCGCCTATTTTGCCTCTAGCAGTTTCGCCTTAAGTAAGCTCAAACGCATAGATTTAATAGCAAATGATCAAATTTAAGAATATAATATCAAATGAGCAGATTTAAGAATTAATAAGCAAATTTATGGATAAATTCAAAATCAACTTCTCACATCACAACTTATTTAAAATTCAATCGCGACTTTCTACCTTTAAATGAAGATGAGCATAGGAAATATTTTTGGTTGAAAAATCTGTTTGAACCTTTGAACATATAAAAAAGAATTATATCAGACCTGCAGAGGTGCCATTTCCACAGTCCGGTCCGAATTCTTTAGAAAAAAAATTTAGCACAGCGTTTTAAAAAATATTTCGGCCCGACCTGAGTTTTACATTTCAGGTCCGACCCGGGTATATTTAAAAAAAATTTATTATGGCTCTTCGGGGGCCAGGTCTCTGAATTTTAAAAGAAAACGCTTCTTTTTTTAAAAATTTCATCACATTTCCTAAATAATACTAAACTGTATGATCATGTCCTAATTCGACTTATTACTAAAATCTCTAAAAGGTAAGCCCGTACAGGTTTATTGATAAAATTATATTTATTTAAACCGACCAAGCCCCTATTTGTATTTTTGGTTTACCTATATAAAAAAATAAATAAAATATCATATCATTTTTACATCGGAAACCAAAATGGCGTATCAACGGCTAATTTTTATTGATACACATTTATAAATGAATGAAAAGTCGCCCTAAGAACATTATATTTAATTAGTCTAATCGCAGGCTTTTTTTTTCTGCCCGGATTTTTTAAATATATTTTACGATCCGGGTTTCAAAAATATGCTTTGTGCCAACAGATTAATTTAACTTAGGTACCTTCAGATACAAGTTCTTCCAACTTTGTGAATATTTATATAATTTTGAAACTCGGGCCGGATTTGAAAATGTTTATATATCTCATATTTATTAATAGTACATAAATGGTAATGTTTCAAAATACAATAGTTTAATCTACAACTAATCCGTTTTCATTTTAATATTCGGTCAATTAACCATCTATGGTTTATCAGATTCATTATCCTGTATAAATCTCTTGAAGGCAACGCATAAAAATTTTTGGGAGATACGTAGATACTCACGATAGTTTTAACGGTTATAGTCCTTTTAAAAAAAGTGCTGTTAATTAAACCTTACTTAGTTTCGCGAAATTAATTGGATTAAAAAGAATAAACATACAATAAAATTACTTACTGTTAAATATGGTTTCCTTTAAACTAGTTTTTTATCCTTTGTCCCTCTTTTGTTTAGCCTTAAATACATATAAATTTAAAATAATTTTTTTATCCTCGCCTTAAATACATAAAAATGTAATATAGTTTTTTTAAGTCATTCTTTTGTTTGATTTAATTACATTAAAAGTAAAACGTGGTTTTTGTGTTTTTTTTAATCAGAGATTTTTCATACTTTTGAATTTCTTAGTATGGTGTTCAGTAATTATAAATTAGATATTTAGATTCATCGTCCTGAATCCAGAGGTATATTTTGAGTTCCGAAAATTATAGGGGGGGGGGGGGTTAGTTTTATCCCCAATTATGTAAGATAAAATTAACAAACTCCCTTTCGCAAAAACTCCTTTTTTTTTACTTTGCGCCAATTTTAATTTTTAATTGCGCCTTTTATTTTCCCTAAAAAGGGACTAATTTAATAATTTGTTTTTACTTGATAAAATTTAGATAAAGTTTTTTTTATAAAATACGTGTCTGTTTAATATTAAATAATTTGCGTTTTATTTCTGAATTTTTCTTAATTAACCCATTATGGCCCATACACGCTCATATGAACTGACTGGGTCTCCTACTATACTACCCGTACTTCACTTACAATAATACATGTGAATAAATATTTATGGCTTAAATTGATAATAAAATATTTTTGGTGAAAATTGGATATTTCGGGATCTATTTTATATTTCAGTTATGAGGGAAGGAGTCTGGAGGTCTCTATATATTCTTTCCTCCGGCAATCCAGCAATTAATTAATAATCTATAAAATAAAAGGATTTATACATTCTCATCGAACAAAATAACCAACATTTATTTAGATGATGTGTGTAACGAAAATTCAAAAATAAATATAGAAAGAAATATCTTCTTAACTTTGTAAATTGTAATACTTTATAATAAGCATCTGATTTTTTTTAAAACATAGGTCGTAATATTTATAATAATAATTTTAACAAAAATAAAAAGATTATCTAAATATAAAATATCGTATAATAATAATTTAAAATAAATAACATATAATTTTTTTTGTTTGCGACGCGATATATTTTTTTTTAAATCGCAAAATATTGTGTTTATTTTCTTGGAAAAACAACAAAAAAATATTTAAAAAAAACTCCACTAAGACCGAAAATGTTCGATCCAAGATAAAGGTTGATGGTTGGGTAACTTGGCCTTTATGTTGAATTGCTTTATAACGGCATCCATGGCTACATTATTACCACTGTAATAGGCGGAGATGGCATTATGAAAAAGGACCAATTGCTTTCTTACCACTTTGATCTGTAAAAAAATTAAATAATAAAGAAATAATGGTGGACATTGATTTTATAGAAAATAAAAGAAATCATTTATCTAAGAAATCAAATTTTTAAAGCTGTTAGTCGGTCGATTTTAGAATCAACTGGTCTGTTTCGATGAAAGACTTTACAAATTCAAATTTTTACATCGATAACGATTTTAGCCTTCCGCGATTCGGGACGGGCTTAGACCGATATATTAATTTTGAGTAAAGAACCGGAAATGTTGAACTAAAGCTATATTATTTAATATTTCTGGATGAATCTCAATCGAACGGTTATATTTATAAGTTTATCTCGTTATTTTTGCGTAAATATCTGTATATTTTATAACTCTCATGAGATAAAATTTGGCGTAGAATTTTAAAAAAAATCGTGGAAATATTTGTTTGAAAAATTCTTTTTAAGATAAGGTAAAAAAAATAGAGTTATTAAACTATTTAGATAAAAATGAAATATAGTAATTCAATAAATTATCATTTCTTTATAACAGGAGGTCATCAAAATAAAAAAATAACCGAGCTACCTCGTGGTTATCTTTCCACCCCAGTTATAGTTAGCACCCTAGATTAATGGCTCCCATAGGTCTAGCTCTGCTTTATGCCTTCGGGAAGAAAGTTATTATCCCCGGTGATTCTAAGGAAAAAAATTTTTCAGGCAGAGAATATTTCTAAATATATACAGATCTAGCTGCATATCCATCCACAGATATAGATCTACACCCTTATAATATTGATTTTTAATTGTAAAATTGCATTTAAATGTTTTTTAAGAGATATGTAGATATTTAAAAATAATTTTCTTTCAAAAAAAATTAAGTTAATAATATATTTTTTTAAACCGGTTAACAAACGCCCAAATCCAAATATGGTTTGGCACAGGTCATTAAACGATTAATTAATCTTCAATAGAAACACTATTTAGCTCTATAGTGGTGTCCTGATTTGGAAAATATTTTGAACCTCTAATTTAAGATTTAAAAAAATAAAATAAATTGAAGGGTATGAATAAATAAAAATTATATAAGATTAGTAAGATGCAAAATAAGTTAAAGGTTCCTAATTATCGGATCATATTTTAAGTATAAAATCAGTTTTTTTTAAAATAAAATTAGTTAAAAAGAAATTTTCAATCAAATAATTTAAAAAAATCAATTGGGTTCAAATTCTGTATTTTCAACTTAAAAAAAACATTTACATCTTTGATAAAAAATTTATCCAATGAAAATGGGAGGTAAACTTTTCATAACTAATGGAATATTCAAAAGGTTACCGGAAAAAACCAAGTAAATTATACCGGGTTTTTTACAATTTTAAAATCTCTAGGATCAGCTAGACCCCTCAAAACCTATTCATGGGCTAAATTTACTTATACATGCAAAGTTTTTAGGATCGCTGGTCTCAAAAACCTCACATTACTGAAGAGTTTATTAATAAAAACTATGCTGATCCTCAAATTTTTCCCCCATCCAATTAGATCGGGTGAATTAGCGAAGTCCAACCTATTATACTATTAAAACAACAACTAAAAGATCTATTAGAAATTTACAAAAAATCCGGAAACATTAATTTACATTGTTGAGTTATCAATCAACTCACCCGATTTTCGTCCAGAAATTTCAGTTTGATGGACAAATCGTTGCGGATCTTGTCGAATTTGTCCTTGGAAATATTAAACTGCCTTGTGCTTTCGGCTATCTTCGCCTCCGAAACCGGTTTAGTCTTTAAGAGTTTCGTTAAATTCTCGATCTCCGTGCGATAAGCGTCAAACTCTAACCTAAAAATAGATCAATTCAAAAAATTGTTAAAAAGAACAAATGTTAGAATCTATAATTTTTTTTATTCCCTGGAATTCCAGCCCAACATAAATATATATATATATATCAAAAGGTTCGATTAGAGTTGCCGCTAATTCATTTTTTCCCCGCCAGCGAAAACAATTTTAATTAAAATTTTTAATCGGAGAGTTTGAAAAAAAACCTTTCTATGGTGATGGGGGCAATTTTTTAAAGTTCTTTTTTAATGTTTACATATTTTTTTTATATATTCTTATTTCTTTTTTTTTAAATATATTTAATTTTGATATCGTTTATATTGTATTTTATTTCTAAAATGAAACCGTTTTTAAATAAAATTATTCATAAAAAAAGAAAAGATCAAAAAAAATTAAGATTACATCATGTAGGATTTTTGGTATCGTTCTACTTGTGTATTTTTATTTATGAAAATTACTGATATTTTCTGAAATTTCCCTCTATAATACTAAATCTGGGGCAAGGCCTGGGTGCAATGAAGTGTTAATATAGTTAAAAATCCCTATTTATCATCAAAATGCAAATGTAAACTAGTCAAAAATTGTTATATCCGATATATGTATTTATAATTAAAATAAGAACTAGCAGACCCTAACCGGATTTTTATGCATAAAGATAACAAAAAATTTACTAAAAAAACAATTTTTCCTGCATTTTCAAGATCTCTGAAGATTTTTAATCAAACTGACGAATTCTCATAATACTTTCAATTTTTCCTTGGGGTTGTATAATTAATATTTTAAATTAAATATGGATTGAATACAGAAAATTACTTATGAGCACATTTTTCTCCATTTTAGTGTGTTAGACCTTAAAAATGTGATTTGAATAAATTTCTATACACTATGCGCAGATCACTCGGAATAAGGAAATTTTCTTCCCAAGTGGCGTAGTTGCAAACTTCTAAGGCTTCAACAAATTTCGACAAGGTTTCTCCATTTTGTTGATATCTCTGTCTTACCCCTCATTCGCAGTTAACGCGATTTCCAGCGAATTTGCGTTAACTGTGAATGTAGGTTTAGCCAGTAGAGATTGAGTTGTAAGTTCAATCATTGAAAGTATATAGCTTTAGAAATTTCGTTAAAACATTTTCATCCAGATTTTCTGGAATAAAATAAAATTTGTCAAAAAGATACATTGCGACAAAAAACATAGAGAGTATTAAGTAAATCGTCTGTGGTATCTTTAGTTAGTAACTGAAAACGTTTAGTATTATTTACAATGGAGGTTCTAAAGGCTAAGTATACCTTTTATTTTAAAAGTCTTCAGTTCAAGCGAGGAGCCGGAGGAAATAGATACTGCAGGAGTAGAGTATAGATAATTACCAAAGCAGGTGACTATAAAATTTACAATGTACTCAATCTCTCTCACTAATATGGTTCCACGTCTTTATAGAGAAACCATTATAGAGAATGTATTTTATAGAGAAACATTTATAGAGAAAACAATTATAGAGAATGCATTTATAGAGAATTGTTTTATAGAGAATGTAATTTATAGAGAATGATTTTAAAGAGAATTATTTTATAGAGAATGTGCTTTATAGAGAATGACTTCAAAGAGAATGATTTTATAGAGAATGCCGTTTATAGAGAATGGTTTTATAGAGAATGTCTATTATAGAGAATGATTTTAAAGAGAATTATTTTATAGAGAAGGTCCTTAATAGAGAATGACTTCAAAGAGAATGATTTTATAGAGAATGTTGTTTATAGAGAATGATTTTAAAGAGAATTACTTTTATAGAGAATTATTTTGTAGAGAATTACATTGTAGAAAATCATTTTGTAGAGAATTACATTGTAGAGAATTATTTTATGGAAAATTATTTTCTAGATCTTGATTTTATAGAGAAATATTATATATGGGACAATTGTAGAGTTCAAAAAATTTATGCGGGATTTGAAAAATATATCAAAATTAACATTTTAATAATACAATTCAGTTTATTTGTTGTATTTTTTCGATGACTTTATTTGTTTCAACAATGGTTTTTTTGTAAAATCTTTTTAGTTCATATCAAGGTTTAGCTTGATTATTAACTCAGCTAAACCAAGCCTGAAACGATTTGTTAAATATGTATTAACTGTTATTAAAGAGAATCTAAACTGAACCAACCATTTTTAAAATTTTTATATATTGCATTTATATGTCAGCTACCTAAATTAGCCTATAGAAGGGTTCTTAACTTTATCCTTATGGATATAATATGACGGACGAGAATCTTGATTTTAATTTTAATTAAGAAAAGGTTTTAACCAGTTGTTTGGGTAAAAAATATGTCACATTCCCGTTCGTTCTGCGTTTCGGAACACGTTTCTAAATATAATTTTCTTTCTATTTTATTATACAAATTTTATTCATACTTTTTAATATAGATAACTAAGAATTCATTAATCTCAAATGATACGCTTTTGGGGTTCCACATATTTATAGAGAAACCAATATTTTTGATTTATAAGCACCATAATTTTGTCCTTCCTAAAAAACCAAAACCGTAAATTGAAGGTTTCTATATAAAATATTATAGCGAATGCATTACCGCAAATGCATTATAGCGAACGCATTATCATGCATTATAGCGAGTATAATACAGCAAAAATATTATAGCGAATGCATTATCGCAAATGTATTATCGCGAATGCATTATCTCAAATGAATTACATCAGTTGCTATATCTAAAATGGAGTTTGATGAAACTACAATTTTATATTTATCGGCCTTTAGACAGACTTAGTTGAACCTGGAAATTAAGTTAAAGTTGGGCTTGGGTCTAAAAATATTTTTTTTTAAAATAGGGTTAAGGCTTTTGATTTTTTTGACTCAAAAAATATAAAAAAGATTCTAAGCAATAAAATAGATTTCTCTAAAGATTAGGGTAAAGGAATTAAATTTTTATATTAATTGATTGTTTAATATGCGTTTAGGTATATTTTTCAATTAAATTTGGGACAGGACAAGCTCAGGCCTAAAATTTAAAATTATGGCTAGGCTCCTAAAAATAAAGATTTTGGATGGAGCTTTGGCCGAAATAAATAAAATTTGCAAGGCACTAAGAAAAAAAGTTTTATTTAAAACATTGAGCCAAAATGATAATTAGACCTCGGATTTATATTATTCTTTGACAAAGCATGCTTTGATTAGTGAGGGATTTAGTATGGACTTGATAAACATTTTTTGATAATAAATTTATATAAAGTTATCTTATTGTTTAATCAAAAAGACAAGGTCAAAGCTTATCACAACAAGACATGAAACAATATTCAGCATCATAGGTAGATTGTCGAATTGAATTACTACGTGTAATCTCTGATGATGAAATTGCCACTATTGTGACTTAGGAATTGGGAAAAAAATAGATTATTGATTTCCTTAATTGATTCTTGCTAAATTCTTGCTTCCTGACGAGTCTTTTTTCCAATTATGTGATCAAAGACAAAATTATACAAAAATAGATATAGAAGTATAATAAATATAAGTAGAGCTAAAATTGAATGAATTGAACATGCCTCTATTAAAAATAACTTAGCTATTTTTAACACAAATTATAGTACATTCCCATTTCAATTCAGTTGCTATATTTTATTAATCTGATGAATGTCATAAATTTTATTAGAGTGGCGATAATAGTGATTGGACGTTACTATCATCGCTGAAGATGAGAAAATTTAATGGAATGAAATATTTACTTTGTGAGTTGTACTTCAAGGAGTAGATACAACCCTAAAAAATCGAAAGGTGGAAAATATCTCTTTTTTACATTTTCTATGCCTTTATATATAACTGTCTCAGGAAGCTTAGATAATGAAAATCCTTATGCTATGCTGGAAAATAAAAATATTGCTTTAATCATGAAAATTTTTTTATTAAGAAACATCCACCCCTCCTCCCAACAGAAAAGTTTGAATAAATAATTAGCCCTAATGATACGAAGAAATTTAAATATTAATGATAATTATACTTGCTTATAACCAGATCTATAGACCGACTACCAATAATAAAAAGACGCTTAACCATTCAAACAATGTTAAACAGGACCTTTTACCACAGGGGAAGGGGTTATAACTCATGATTGGCATTGAAATTAAAATGGGTAGTTTGTATTTGGAATTCCGTTGTTCTGATTTTGATGTGGTATAGGAAATGAGGAGAGTGGGGGAAGAAGGGGGTAGTATTATAATATATGATGAAAAATCTTTTGATAATTAGGTATCTGAAATAACTTCTAAGTGTAAAAGAGTTAGTAAAATATTGTGCAATCTGCTGCAAATATCAAGCTTCGATATTTTTTAAAGAAAGACATTACAATGTGATGGAAATCAGAAGACTTCTTATAATCATATGATGACAAGCTTGTCTGTGAACCAACCATATTTAAACAAATTGGTATCAATAAATATAATCCCTATATGTAAATAAAAAATTTCTTATAAATATTAAAAGTCTGATCTTCGGAATGTTTAACAAGTTCAAAAAACCTATAAAAAACATTTTAAACTTTTTGATTCACCTTTCTCTACACCCCTAAGGAGTTTAGGCTTGTAATAAGAAATTTTTATTTTACTAAAATCAATTTAGAGAAAAAAGTGTATTATTTTAAATTTTGTCAATGTATAATTTTTAGGTAAGGGTTTGAACTATCATTTTGTATTTTGTAAATTCAGATACAATTATTTTCGGACCTATGACGATTTTGACAGAAATTGATCCAACCACCCCCTGGTCTTCCCTGCCTACCCTGTGAATATTAGACAGTACTCTAATGATCTTTTAACTAAACTTAATGTTGGTAAGGCGATAGTTTAATGGGTAATGTTTTATTTTTTGTTATTATTTGCATTTAAAATCCTTAATTGAGTGCGTTTTATTAAATTTAAAAATCTGATTTTGACAGAAATGCACCTGAATAAGTGTAGAATACCCACCCTTAATGTTGCGCAATCGGTTAATTTTAGGCAATTCC